GGTTCATAGTGCAGCGCGCTAACCGCTACACTATCGCTCCCCACACACACTGTCACACACACACACTGTCACACACACACACACTGTCACACACACACACACTGTCACACACACTGTCACACTGTCACACACACTGTCACACTGTCACACACGCTGTCACACTGTCACACACGCTGTCACACACACACACACTGTCACACACACACACTGTCACACACACACACTGTCACACACACTGTCACACTGTCACACACACTGTCACACTGTGACACACACTGTCACACTGTCACACACACTGTCACACTGTCACACACACTGTCACACTGTCACACACACTGTCACATTGTCACACACACTGTCACACTGTCACACACACTGTCACACTGTCACACACACTGTCACACTGTCACACATACTGTCATGCTGTCACACTGTCACACTGTCACACACACTGTCACACACACTGTCACACTGTCACACACACTGTTACACTGTCACACACACTGTCATACTGTCACACTGTCACACACACTGTCACACTGTCACACACACTGTCACACTGTCACACACACTGTCACACTGTCACACACACTGTCACACTGTCACACACACTGTCACACACACTGTCACACACACTGTCACACTGTCACACACGCTTTCACACTGTCACACACGCTGTCACACACACACTGTCACACACACACACTGTCACACACACTGTCACACACACTGTCACACTGTCACACACACTGTCACACTGTCACACACACTGTCACACTGTCACACACACTGTCACACACACTGTCACACTGTCACACACACTGTCACACTGTCACACACACTGTCACATTGTCACACACACTGTCACACTGTCACACTGTCACACATACTGTCATGCTGTCACACTGTCACACACACTGTCACATTGTCACACACACTGTCACACTGTCACACACACTGTCACACTGTCACACACACTGTCACACATACTGTCATGCTGTCACACTGTCACACACAGTCACACACACTGTCACACTGTCACATTGTCACACACACTGTCACACTGTCACACACACTGTCATACTGTCACACTGTCACACACACTGTCACACTGTCACACGCACTGTCACACTGTCACACACACTGTCACACTGTCACACACACACTGTCACACACACACAAACCTCTGTCTCCGCCGCTCGCCGCGTGGATGGACCCGATGGCGATTCCCGCGGCCACGACCCAGGCCGGGCCCCAACGCGTCCTCCCCCGCGGCGTGAAGCCTCCTCCTCCTCCCCCTCTCCCCGCGACCCCCGCGGCCTGCAGGGCGGCCCAGCCGTGTCGCTTCCCCGGCCCGGTCTCGGGGAGCAACCGAGAGACCAAAGCCCCACGCAACGGCCTCAGCGCGGCGCGTACAGCCATGCCGCCAACGCAATTGTATTCCCTACACTAGACACGCATACACCTTTATATATCTTACACTAGACGCGCATAGCCATTTATATATCCTACACTAGACGTGCATATTACATAATATATCCTACACTAGACACGCATACACCTTTATATACTCTACACTAGACGCGCATACACCTTTATATAGCCTACACTAGACGCGCATTGAACTTTATATCCTACACTAGACGTGCATATACCTTTATATATCCTACACTAGACGCGCATATACCTTTATATATCCTACACAAGACTCTACACACTCTATGGTTTTATTCGGTAAAATAAAATAAAACAATTAAATCACGACGTTTCGGAGGCAACACAAGCTTCCGAAACGTCGTGATTTAATTGTTTTATTTTATTTTACCTACGTGACTTTACGGAATAAAACCAAAGAGTATGAATCTTTGCAGTCACGAAAGCTTCAAATCTAGAAGACTCTACACATTCGTCAATCGCACTGTGGCGTGAACAGGCGACGTTTCAAGCAATGGTCCCTTCACAGCGAGAGGCCAGTTGAATACTACCCTTCACACAACGGGGTCTGCTGAGAATGTAATCTTCGAAAAATAATTCGCCCTGTTTGTAAACAAGTAGGAGTTACCTAATTGTAGATGTTGAGCAACTGTGCTTGTTAAATGAACTCATTGCGAGTAAAATGATGAGGTGTCGTTGTGCGAAAGTGTTCCCACATACCCCAGGATTCTGAGACATTAAATGCCAGGCGCAATCATAGGAAACCATTATAAAAATAACACGAAACTGAAAATAATATATCCATACATGTCAACCCCTTATCAGTGCCCTACCATATTAGAGACCAATTGATATCTTATTGGTAGTCACCCCGTGCCTTTATAAATCTCAACGTTCATCCTACAAAGTCCCACCACAAGGGAGATACACACACACATTGATACATTTTGATTTAAAGCTTTCGTAACTGCAGTGATTCATATTCTTGGTTCTCTCGGTAAAGTCACGTTGAAGGGAAACAATAAGATAATAAAATATATATAAAACAATAAAATTGTCACGACGTTTCGACTGCAACACAAGCAGTCATCATCAGGTGTGAAAACCAACGGCAAGAAACATTTGTTTAATATATATTTTATTATTTTATTGTTTCCCTTCAACGTGACTTTACCGAAAGAACCAAGAATAATACGTAGATACATATTTAGTTTTGTCTGTATTGAAACGGCTGTACGCCGCATGGACCTGAAAACTCAATTTCCCTGTAACAAGTATACGGGGTTAAAGGGCCGTCCATAAATGACGTCACGCACCTAGAGGGGGGGGGGTCAGACATTTGTGACGATGTGTGACGAGGGGGGAGGGGGGGGTGAGAAATGTGACGTCACATAAAAATGCGCAACTTTATATAAATATAGACAACACGTTATACTTAATAAAAAAAAAATTAATAAATGTTTTCTCCTACGACATCAGAGTGCAGCGCCACATTTAATACGCACTACAATGACAATAGTTCAAAGCGATTTGAAGCATGTTTTATTTTTTTTGGGGGGGGGGGGCAGAGCTTTGTGACGTCATATTTGATGGGGGGGGGGGGTCTGACTTTTTGTGACGCCGTGTGACGAGAGGGCGGAGGGTCAAAAATCGTCCAAAATCGCGTGACGTCATTTATGGACGGCCCCTAAACCGTATGGGTCGACAGGGATGCACGCGGCTGATGGCATCAAATGGCGTCATAGGAAACGAGCAGGCAGGCCATTGCGTGGCAGCGTCACGGTCAAAATGTTGAAAATTTACCCATAAATCACTCAATTGGGAATGCGCGTAGCAACTTCGCCCGTTCCTGTGCAACTATCGCAGACTGTGTTAACACATAGCGCTGTGAGAGTAACTATAGCGCGAATACCAAATGTAAACAATTATCATGATCACTCAGCAGAGCTTCAAGTTGGCCTCCTCGGTCCGCTTGACGCTGCCCTCAACTATTCACCTCCACTGGGTCACCTGTCCGGCCTCTGGCCGCCCAACCTAAACGGAATACAGGAATACCATCCAATCTAGATTTAAAGTTTTCGTGACTGCAGGGATCCATACTCTTTGACCCCCCCCCGCTCTCTCTATCTCTCCTCCCTGGCTCCCCCCCACTCTCTAACCTATAAAGCCTCTTGTTACAGCAGCCCCTTTTGGCCACTTCAGCAATTGTTTCTTGCTGTGGTTGTCCCACCTGATGACGGACGCGTGTGTTGCGCCCGAAACGTCGTGATTTAATTTATTTTATTTTATACCTTACGTGACTTTACCGAAAGAACCAAAGAGTAGGAATACCATCCACCTAAAAATAAGTTGTTGTTGTTGTTGTTTTACACGTGCGCATTATACCCGTGTGCTGTCAACAACGGTTTTCGCGGACGCTGCATCTGGGGCAATGTTTGACGATCGAGAGGGCGAGACCCCCAGGTGAACGCATCGAGGCTGTCTGTACCCCGGGCCGGATTCCCCGCGTGCCGGCCAGTGTGAGGGCAACCACCGGCCAAGGGGCCGTCCATAAATGACGTCACGCACCTAGGTGGGGGGGGGGGTCAGACATTTGTGACGATGTGTGACGAAGGGGGTAGGGGGGGTTGAGAAATGTGACGTCACATCAACATGCGCAACTTTAAAGAAATGTAGACAACACGTTTTACTTAATTAAATAGACTTTTTAATAAATGTTTTCTCCTACAACATCAGAGTGCAGCGCCACATTAAATACGCACTACAATGACAATAGTTTAAAGCGATTTGAAGCATGTTTTATTTTTGGGGGGGGGGGGCAGAGCTTTGTGACGTCATATTTGAGGGGGGTCTGACTTTTTGTGACGTCGTGTGACGAAGGGGGGGGTCAAAAAATCGTCCAAAATAGCGTGACGTCATTTATGGACGGCCCCAAAGTGGTGGTGGGTTTGGGCAGTGGGAGTTTTAGGAGAGGGCACAAGCGTTGGGTGGTTGGGAAAGGGAAGCAGACTGAGAAGTCTGCCTTCGAAGTCCTCGATGAAAGAGTGTTAGGGACTTATCTCAGCGAAATGATTCGTTTTGTATGCAGCATCATTCGTGGTACACAATGGCTGATGAACCACAGACAAGCTTGGAAGGCTGCCAACATTCGCTCTGCACTTATATACGTACTGTATTAATACGTTTTCGGCCAATGAGTGTTTTATACGTGGGAGAAAACCGGAGCACCCGGGGAAAAATCACACGTGCGAGGGGGAAACGCTCAATCCCGTACAACAGGGACAGACACTGCACTGCATTCTGCCGGCAAGCCAGGGTTATGGCACCTTGATGCCTACGGTAAGAGAGTCTCGCAAACATTTCTCTCTCCAATCCACCAACCCTCGCCTCCAGTGCTGCCTTACAAGCGTGCGTCACCAGCTCCCTGGACCCCCTCCCCTCTGCATCCCCCAAGACCCCCCTCCGCATCGCCCGAGACCTCCTTCATACCCCCAGACCCCCCCTCCGCATCCCCCCAGAACCCCCTCCGCACCCCCCTCGCCTCCGCACTACCCCCTCCCCTCTGCCGCCGCGCGACTCGCTGAAGCTCGCCTCGATGGAGCCGCAGCCGCCTCTCGCCGCTCTGCTCGCCACGTGCCTCCTCCTCGTGTCCGCTCTCCCGTTGGGTACATCGCGCTGTGTGCGGCGGCACCACACGACCCGACCGCGTCGGTACAAACTCGTGTAATGTCCGTGCAGGTGCGTGCAGGTGCGTGCAGGTGCGTGCAGGTGCGTGCAGGTGCGTGCAGGTGCGTGCAGGTGCGTGCAGGTGCGTGCAGGTGCGTGCAGGTGCGTGCAGGTGCGTGCAGGTGCGTGCAGGTGCGTGCAGGTGCGTGCAGGTGCGGGTATGCGGAGCGGTGGTGTAGCGGTTAGTGCGCTGCGCTACTGAAGCTGGCGACCCGGGTTCGATTCCCGCTCACGGCCAACACCAGTTACGATTATTTGAACCGGTCCTGGGCCTCCCCTAGGTCGACTCAGCTTAAAATTATTACCTAGTGCCGATGTGTAAACATCGCCACGAGGGAGACAAAGGCAGCCGGGCGTGGTGCTGTGCCGACCTTCAGCACTTGCCCCAACAGTCTGTTTAGGCTATACGGGGGATCTTTCTCGTGTGCAGGTGTGCAGGTGTGCAGGTGTGCAGGTGTGCAGGTGTGCAGGTGTGCAGGTGTGCAGGTGTGCAGGTGTGCACGTGTGCAGGTGTGCACGTGTGCACGTGTGCATATGTGTATACATATGCACACATATCCCCCCCAATATTCAAATATGCTAAAAATGTCCCCCCCAATATATTTCTATGCTATGTAAATAAAAACAACACTTTGCTTAAACCTTGGCCACAATATCTGGACTTGTCTTCATATAAATCATAGATTTCTGTTGATATGATTGTGGTTATGGTTGTACGTAATTAATCCCTAATCTCTGCCATTACATACAATGAAACAAGAAATGGTAAAAAAAAAAGAAAAAAACAGAGCATTGTAATACAATACACTATTAGACATTATTGTAAAAAATAAATAATTAAACCAATCCCATGTGTTAGTGAATTTTATAATATTTTAGGCAGGAAATGAGTTTTCAAATTTAGATATTTTTTTGGGTTGGGACCCCCAGACACCCTAGAAGATTTGGTCCCCCCAATGTTGACTCCATGGCTACGGCCTTGTGTTATACTCGAGTATACAGGTGTATACAGGTGTGTGCAGGGAATGCGTGCAGGTGTGTATGCGGACATGCGGTGGCTGGGCATGTGGGCTACATGACCCAGCCAACGCAGCCTCGCCTGCTGGAAGAGCCCACTAATGGGACCATGTCCAGATCTTTCAAGGATCTGTGAGCTCCTCACTCAATCCAGCCCGGTTGAACCAGGAATGACTCGTAGGCAGGTCAGCCTTAACATGTCAAACCGGCGAAGATGTTCTATTAGAGGGGTCCACGCTTCGCAAGAATAGAGAAGAGAGAGCATAACTGTGACCGCGAACACCTGGAGCTTCGTATGGATCGACAGACCAGGTAGCTTTCGCATAGCGTTACGCAGCTGATGAAAAGATAATGCCGCTCGACTGAGACTTCAACTGCCAAGCCGGAACTAGTCAAAAGCAGACTACCTAGGTATGGGAGCTTCTCCACTCTCTGCACAACTGCCCCAATCATTCATTGGGAGTTGAGGGGGTGGAGTGTTTGATGATACAAAATAACCATACAGGTGCTTTATTTTTATAGGGCTGATGATAAGGCCCCACCTTTTTGTGGCACGTTTCAGGTACAGCAGTGGAGTCTTAAACTCCTTCTCAGAGTAGCAATTACCAGGTCATTGGCATACTTAACATGATTTACTGGGCATCGATCAGTCTCTTATTGTCGCGGTATCAAATATAAATTCCATTTTTACAGCCATGGAAATGTTATTTAACTACGTGGTCATAAATATGTAAAAAGTAGGAACCAGAGGATATCCCTGTTGCATCCCAAGAACAACAGAAAATAGTTATGACTCCCAACCACACAGCTTTACCTGGGCCCGCCCACCATCATCAAGGTCAAGGATTCTGAGCTTAGGGTCAACGACCCTGAAAGCACGAAGAATAGACGTTGACCAGGTCAATAAGCAGAGCTATAGGTCCTGTTGAATTTCCCTACACCTTTGCTGTAGCAAATGGACACAATATGGCATATATAGAGGACCACCTCGTTCTGAAACACCATGGGGGCACCGCATGCCCAATCACCTTGTTTGGCCGAATAGATGGGGCTAAACAGGTGGGGCATGGGATAGAGAAGAGATCGGCTGATGTGGTACCGAGAGGGTGTAGAGCTGAACGGACTAGCCCATAAGAGTATGGACTTGCCCATACTGTAATTGATAAGAGCGGTGTCAAGATCGGCCTTTATGGAGGCTCGTGAAAGACGCTACTGGGCAGTTAGAAGCAGTCGCCCTCCAAAAACAGAGAAGCGAAACTCACAACAATGTGTGTGATGGTGCGTATGGGGGTGCGTGCACGCCACGGCACCTGGGTCTGTCCCGTGATCTGCCAGCGAGCCTTCACGCGGCCTCAAAGTGCACCTAGCCTGGCACAAGCGCCGTGGTAACGTCACCGCCATTTAGTGGGGAATGTTGGTGTGTGCACGCCGCCCCGTGTCCCCCGTGCAGGAGCTCGCGGTGCCGATGGGCGCTTCGCTCACGCTTTGCTCCGCGCGCTCTTTGAGAATTACTCGAGCGCCGTGCGGCCCGTGAGCGACACCAACAGCGCGCTCAACGTGACGCTTCAGATTACGCTCTCCCAGATCATCGACATGGTGAGCGAGTGTGTGGGCAGGCGGGCGAGTGAGGAGTGGGTGTGTGGGCGGGTGGATGAGTGAGGAGTGGGTGGGCGGGTGGGTGAGTGGGCGAGTGAGAAGTGGGTGGGTGAGCAGGTGAGCGAGTGGGTGGGTGGACAGGTGAGCGAGTGAGGAGTGGGCAGGTGGGCGGGTGGGTGAGTGGGCAAGTGGGGAGTGGGTGGGCGAATAAAGAGCTCCCTCTAGTGGAGGCTCTTCCCCCAGCAGTGGCGTGCGCACGGAATTGCAGGACTTCACCTTTACCTTTTGAGAAACGAAGGCAAGTGTACTTAGGTCGCCGTGCGATTCCTGACTTTCAGACCTGTAATCGATTCTGGAAACGGTTACCGGTTTGCCGGTTGTCATTTGACCATCCTAGTTTTTTTGCGTGTAGTCAAAGCCAAAGATCCGCAGTATAGCCGAAGCAGACTGGTGGGACAAGTGCTGTGAGCGAGCACTTTGAAGGCCGGCACGGCACACGTGGGGGTTGGTAGCCAGCACCACGCCCGATTCAAGCCTGTCTCCCCAGTGGCGACGTTTACACATCGCACCAGGTATTCACATGAGGCTGAGTGGACCTACAAGTACAGGAAGTCCCAGTAATGGTTCAGATTTTGGTACGGGAGGTGGACGTGAGTGGGAATCCTACTCAGGTTGCCGGGTTCATATAGGGCAGCGCGCAAACTGCTATGCTACTGCTCCCCATTAGACATCCTTCACCTATACACGTAACCCTGCCGCCACTCCGCTGCGCGACAGGACGAACGCAACCAGATCCTGGCCGCGTACCTCTGGGTGCGACAGATGTGGAGAGATGCCTACTTGAGCTGGGACCGGGAGCAGTACGATGGTCTCGACACGCTGAGGATCCCCAGCAGCCTCGTGTGGAAACCAGACATCGTGCTCTACAACAAGTACCCACCATGCATGCACCAGCAGCAGCAGCAACTACGCAGCAACCACTCCACCGACGAGCACTGGCACCCCACGCGCACATCACCCCGCGCTCACCCCACCCAGGTGCAGCACGCGTGCCCTCGTGCACAACGCACGCCGCTGGGGCGCAGCCAATCGCTCCAGTGACGATCGAGTGAGCGGAACCGACCCACGCAACAACTGGGTCGAGTCCCCCCGCACCACCCGATGCGGTCCGCTCACTCCCGAGGCTCAACTCACGCCATTCACTCGCCATCCGGAGGCAATGAGGAGGCATCCATTATTCACGTGGCGCGCTAGAGTTGCTCGGCACCAGGCACGCTGGTGGCACTCGAGTTACTCTTGAATATTCCCAATTGTTTAAACCCAGTTGCCGACCACGTGCCCTCAGGTCCGAAAGGCAGCCAGCACCAAGCAGCGCGATTAAAAGTTGTGATCGTTTTGTTAAGAGTTAACACTTTTTTGAACTGAGGATGCTTATGACTAGAGCTTGAGAGGAAATACCAAGGTTGCGCATTGATAGGAATTAAGCATAAAGTGAATGAGTGGATGAGTTATTGGTTTAGGGTGATTCGGTGTATTGTTCTATTATGGGAAACGGTGATGCAGTGGTTAGCGCAGTGCGCTACCGACGCAGCAACCCGAGTTCAATTCCCGCTCACGGTTAACACCAGTGACGATTATCTGAACCGATCCTGGGCCTCAATTGAGTACCTGGTGCTGTGTGTAAACATCGCCACTCAGAATTCAAAGGCAGCCGGGTGTTGTGCTGGCTATCCACCCCCAGGTGTGCTATGCCAGTCTTTAGTGGTGCTACTCGCAAATAGCACTTGCCCCAACTCTGTTATTGGGTACGTAGGGGATAATTTTCTGCTTTAGTAGAAATGTCTTTTGTTGGGTTTCATCTCACGAGCAATAATACATCTTGGAAGCAAACGGGCCTTTGTATCACCATCATATTATAATTCACGCGCCAATACTTCACCTCTTTATACGCTGAGTCTAATGTATCATATTTATTATGCTTGTTTACCCAAGAAAGCCTCACTGATTCTCAACACTCGTTTTTAGGAGGGTCCTGCCAAGTTCCCACAGTAGGGGACGTTGCCTCGTGTAATCACAATTGAGTAACTTTAAAGTGCATTTTTAGCATTGGGATGTTTGGACAGTACGTTACATTGGGTGTGTTCTTTTTAGCTATGCCAGGGAACTGGAGGACCCAGAGCAAACCCACGCAGAAAATGGTTGAGAAAAAAAACTCCACATCAGAGATGTGCCCGATCGGGTATTGAACCCATGGTCTTCTCGCCATAAGGCACGAGTGTCACCACTGCGCTGCCACCCTGCTGTTAAAACGGCCAACTGCGCCGTCAGGCACGTTCCACAGAGATGACTCTCTCCGCATCGCCGATCGCGACCAGGAGCAGCCTTCCGCCAAACGAGGAGGCGGAGGTTGAGCGACTCCCCACCCGCCCACACTCTCCACCCCCCTGCAGTGCCGACGATGAGTTCACGCGCTCCATGGAGACCAACGTGGTCCTGCGGCACACGGGCGACATCACGTGGGATCAGCCGTCCATCACCAGGAGCTCGTGCGGCGTGGACGTCTCCTATTTCCCGTTCGATGCGCAGCAGTGCCACCTGACGTTCGGCTCGTGGACCTACAATGGGCACCAGGTGAGCGCACGGAGGACATGCGACGCCGCCGTCGTCTCTTGTTCTGCATTACGGCCCATCCCCCGAAGGAACTGGTAAATCGATCCTAAATTCACGGTCGCGAATCGTCGTTTCCTGGTCACGGGCGATCTGGTTGAGCACCCCCCCGCCACCGCAGCCGCGTGATAGCAGTTGGGTCACAATACGAGGGCGGCTTCTTCCCACGGCCGCGCGTGCAGGTGGACATCTTCCCAGGCCCAGACAACGCCGAGCTGAAGGACTTTGTCGCAAACGTCGAATGGGAGATCCTGGGCATGGCTGCACGGCGCAACGTCATCGTGTACGGATGTTGCTCGGAGCCGTACCCCGACATCACCTACACCATCACACTCAAGGTGTCCATCACCCACACTATCATGTCCTGCAACGCTTCCACCGGTATATCCACTGCCCCCTGCTGCCACTCGTTTCAAGAGACTGAACTCGTGCGCTTCTCTCTTCTAGCGACGTTCTTCATTCTACATCTTCAACCTCCTCCTCCCGTGCCTCATGATCTCCTTCCTGGCACCCTTGGGTTTCTACCTACCCGCCGACTCAGGCGAGAAGGTGTCGCTGGGTGTCACTGTGCTGCTGGCGCTCACCGTCTTCCAGCTGCTGGTGGCCGAGAGCATGCCACCGTCTGAGAACATGCCGCTCATCGGTAAGGACGAGCCGCGATCAGCCTGCACCTCGCGAGACGTGCCAAGAGCGCATGGGTGTTAGACGGAGGAGCGGCGGGTGTGTCGCTTTGCCATGTGACGGCGCTCACGCCGCTGCCGCCGCCGCTGCTGACGGCTCGGTCGCGTGCGCCTCTCCTATTCCTCGCAGGCAAATACTACATCGCCACTATGAGCATGATCACGGCCTCCACGGCGCTCACCATCTTCGTGATGAACATGCACCACTGCGGGCCCGAGGCGCGGCCCGTGCCCGCGTGGGCACGCGTGCTTGTGCTGCACTACCTGGCGCGAGCCTTCTTCGTCTACGAGGTCGGGGAGAACTGCCGCACGGCGCGGCTGCGCGCCGCCACCCCGGCCACCGCCGCGACACCGCTCGACACCAAGGAGTGGGAGGACGAGGCGCCGGGACCCCTCGACGCCGCCACCACCGCCGCCGGCCGCTGCCGCCGTTGCTGCTGCTGCTGTTGCTGCGCGGGCCCGCGGGGGGGACGCGTGGCCAGGGACGTGGCCTCTATCGCGGCGTTCGTGCGCGAGGCGCGCGCCGCGCACGAGCTGAGCAGCGAGTGGAAGAAGGTGGCCAAGGTGATGGACCGCGTGTTCATGTGGATCTTCTTCCTGCTCGTCTTCTGTATGAGCCTGCTCATCGCTGGCAAGGCCATGTGAGGCGGTCACAGGAACGGGGTTAGGGGCAGGGGGAGTAATCTGGTCCAGGATTCCTCGTCTCGAGTTCTACGCCGCAATCACGATGCCCAGGCAATGTGCCACGGAAATGGCGACGTGGTGATTTGCATCACGGTGGACGTCACAGATGCTGTGACGTAATTCGAAAAAGAGTAGGCCATGTGTGCCGGCATCATCGTGAAATTTACCAATATTGCTAAATTATTTTAAAATAAAACTTAATTGGAATAACAGCGAGCAACTGCTTTACCTTGTACCACACAGACAGCTGTCATCAAGGGTCCCCTATGCCAATGCTTCGCAACCGGTATGCTGCAGAACAATCCCAGATGTGCCACGGTATTTAGAATTGATCGGCAGGCACAGACAATGAAACAAACACTACAGACATGAACGTAAAACAATGAAACGGAGGCACGTTGAAATTAAAAAAATTAAGACAGTTAAATTATCCATAAGAGGTTTCTTTTTTTGGATCTACCCTAAAAAACACTCTATTATGGATGATATTGGTCGCGAAAGCCTACGTGTTAAACATTTTAATTAAACAATTATCAGACACATAGACACAGATCTATACAATTAGACAGACACACAGCCACTGAAATGAAACCGTGAATAGACGGCCATCCTAACAACCACCAATTAAACAAAGACACACACGCGCACAGACTGACAGACACACACACACTGAACACACGACTCCACTCCGCGAGTTGTCTGAGCTGGGTGCCCCCCCCCCCCAGACCCCCCACCCCGGGTGCGAGATTAAACCCGGGAGTCGCGTGTCTGGGAACATGCGGTGATCGAGGGGAGATCCACACACACATGACGCGACATTCCACATTTCCATGACGGCACAAAGTCCGTCCGAAGCGGCGTGTCACTTGAGAAAGAAACGTCCGCACACACACACACACCATCATTATCAGCTGTAATCAATCCACTGATGGATACAGGGCCCACAGTGGTGCGTTTGTTGGTTCGGCGTTCCACAACGAGAAATCAGTCTTGACGGTGAGCGTGAGTGGCGGGGAGTGAACAAGGTTTAGAAGCAATGCCCTAGGCTACACAAAGAAGAGAGCTGGGACATTGGAATGATCGAGATGAGATGCGATGTAACGCGCCTTGAGACGCTGGGTCATTTTAAGCGAGCGCCCAATAAATGCAAATCATTTCCCTCGTGTCATGGATCATCCTCCGGGCGAGGGTTGAGCGACCTCGTGGAAGCTGGAACCGCTGCACTGAGGCCCTCACCCCCGTACCCTGCCTGCCCCATCGCGCCGCTCTGCCCCCTCCAAACATTGTCAAGGAGCCGCCACTGCAACGAACGCGTTTGCACCTGAAGCCATTGCAACAGCACTGGCACGGACAGCCAGCACCAAACATTATCGAGGGAATCGCTTTTATCAGATCGGTGACCCCAGGTCCCTCTTGCAAATGAGACTCCCATCCTGGGGCCCAAGATACCAAACGGCTTACGGCAACGAAGTTTCTAATTTCCCACTCAATGTAATGCCAAGTGTGCGTGCATCTATCCATGCTTCTTTTGCACACCTTTCTTCCACGTTCTAGGACGACCGTGTTTTTGATCCACGTGTCGCCATAGCAGTTAAAATTGCGCTCCGATTGAATATTTCTTGTTAGGGACATTGTGCGTCATTTTTCATCACGAAGTTCAGTTTCCCAAAAAGCATTCCGCGATTTAAATGACGATCCCAGGTATAGAGGCACAGTGCAGCGAGAGCTACTGCGCCGATGTGCAGTGGTGTAGAGTGAAGAGGTGCAGTGGTGAAGAGGTGCAGTGAAGAGTGATGAGGTGCAGTGGTGAATAGTGAAGAGGTGCAGTGGTGTAGAGTGAAGAGGTGCAGTGGTGTAGAGTGGGGAGGTGCAGTGGTGTAGAGTGAAGAGGTGCAGTGGTGTAGAGTGAAGAGGTGCAGTGTAGAGTGAAGAGGTGCAGTGGTGTAGAGTGAAGAGGTGCAGTGGTGAAGAGGTGCAGTGGTGAAGAGTGAAGAGGTGCAGTGCTGTAGAGTGAAGAGGTGCAGTGGTGTAGAGTGAAGAGGTGCAGTGGTGAAGAGTGAAGAGGTGCAATGGTGTAGAGTGAAGAGTTGCAGTGGTGAAGAGTGAAGAGGTGCAATGGTGTAGAGTGAAGAGGTGCAGTGGTGTAGAGTGAAGAGGTGCAGTGGTGTAGAGTGAAGAGGTGCAGTGGGGTAGAGTGAAGAGGTGCAGTGGTGTAGAGTGAAGAGGTGCAGTGGTGCAGAGTGAAGAGGTGCGGTGGTGTAGAGTGAAGAGGTGCAGTGGTGTAGAGTGAAGAGGTGCAGTGGTGTAGAGTGAAGAGGTGCAGTGGTGTAGAGTGAAGAGTTGCAGTGGTGTAGAGTGAAGAGGTGCAATGGTGTAGAGTGAAGAGGTGCAGTGGTGTAGAGTGAAGAGGTGCAGTGGTGTAGAGTGAAGAGGTGCAGTGGTGTAGAGTGAAGAGGTGCAGTGGTGTAGAGTGAAGAGGTGCAGTGGTGTAGAGTGAAGAGGTGCAGTGGTGAGGAGTGAAGAGGTGCAGTGGTGTAGAGTGAAGAGGTGCAGTGGTGTAGAGTGAAGAGGTGCAGTGGTGTAGAGTGAAGAGGTGCAGTGGTGTAGAGTGAAGAGGTGCAGTGGTGTAGAGTGAAGAGGTGCAGTGGTGTAGAGTGAAGAGGTGCAGTGGTGTAGAGTGAAGAGGTGCAGTGGTGAGGAGTGAAGAGGTGTAGTGGTGTAGAGTGAAGAAGTGCAGTGGTGTAGAGTGAAGAGGTGCAGTGGTGTAGAGTGAAGAGGTGCAGTGGTGTAGAGTGAAGAGGTGCAGTGGTTTAGAGTGAAGATGTGCAGTGGTGAGGAGTGAAGAGGTGTAGTGGTGTAGAGTGAAGAGGTGCAGTGGTGTAGAGTGCAGAGGTGCAGTTGTGTAGAGTGAAGAGGTGTCCGGGTCACGTGCGCTTCCGGCGCCACTCGTTACGTCGTCGCGACTCTCGCGCGCACGTGACCACGTCTCCAGCGTCCCGCCCGTGACCGCGCCCTCACCGGAGCCACCGCGATTTCTGATTGGGCGGCGGAGACGTGACGCGCCGCGTGGTGGGGTGGGGGGTGCTGGCGTGCCGGGTCACGTGAGCCGCTCGCCATGGCGGAGCGCGCCGCGCGGGGATTCGGAGAGGCGCTTGCGGTGGAGACGCACGGAGAGGCGAGGAGGGGGGGGGGTGATTGATGGGGGGGGAGGCGAGAGGGCAGGGGGGGGGGGCGAGGGGGGCCGGGTGGGGGGGGGCGAGGGGGGCCGGGTGGGGGGGGGGCGAGGGGGGCCGGGTGGGGGGGGGCGAGGGGGGCCGGGTGGGGGGGGGGGCGAGGGGGGCCGGGTGGGGGGCGAGGGGGGCCGGGTGGGGGGGTGAGGGTGGCAGGGGAGGTAAATAAACTGACCACCAACAACATTTTTGGTTGTCCGATGTATAGACTCGCCTCCCCCCCCGTACCATAGCAATGTGGAATTTCCATCTGCGCGTGAGGATTGTCAACATGAAAAGAGCACCGCCTGGGATGCTCGCAGGGACGGGTGGCTTTTGACTCCGAGCTCGTTCTGGGCGGCAGGCAACGAGAGGAGGCGATCCCCCGCCACCCCCCTGGATGTCTTTCTCAGCCGCCGCACCACCACCACCTGCACCAGCACCACCAACAGTAGCACCAGCAGCAGCACCACCAGCACCACCACAAGCACCAGCACCACCACCACCTGCACCACCAACAGTACCACCACCAACAGTACCACCAGCAGCAGCACCACCAGCACCAGCAGCACCACCACAAGTAGCACCAGCAGCAGCACCACCACCACCTGCACCACTACCAGCACCACCAACAGTACCACCAGCAGCAGCACCACCACCAGCAGCACCACCAGCACCACCACCAGCAGCAGCACCACCACCAGCAGCACCACCAGCAGCACCACCAGCACCACCACAAGTAGCACCACCAGCAGCACCACCAGCAGCAGCACCACCACCAGCAGCACCACCACCAGCAGCACCACCAGCAGCAGCACCACCACCAGCAGCACCACCAGCACCACCACCAGCAGCAGCACCACCAGCACCACCACCAGCAGCACCACCAGCAGCACCACCACCAGCAGCAGCAGCAGCACCACCACCAGCAGCACCACCAGCAGCACCACCACCAGCAGCAGCAGCAGCACCACCACCAGCAGCAGCACCACCAGCACCACCACCAGCAGCACCACCAGCAGCACCACCACCAGCAGCAGCAGCAGCACCACCACCAGCAGCAGCAGAAGCCAGGGCGCTTCGCAGCACGTTTCGATTTGAAAACGTTTGCTGAACACAGGGGCCCAAATGCTAAAAAGCGAGCAGCAACAGACAGCGCTAGCACAGTCGTTTATAAATGTGTTAAAGCGTCTCTTGAATTGAGCAAGCGCTTGAGGAATGGAGACGATGGGAGGGAAGAAGCAAGAGTGTTGGTGGCTGAGTGAGTAGCTTAGCAAGTACACTGTAATGACCTGCAGTGTGGTGAGTGGGTAAGTTGTGACCTGCAGTTTGGTGAGTGGGTAAGTTGTAATGACCTGCCGTGTGGTTAGTGGGTGAGTAAGTTGTGACCTGCAGTGTGGTGAGTAGGTAACTTGTCGTGACCTGCAGTGTGGTGAGTGGGTGAGTAAGTTGTGACCTGCAGTGTGGTGAGTGGGTGAGTGAGTTGTAATGACCTGCAGTGTTGTGAGTGGGTGAGTAAGTTGTGACCTGCAGTGTGGTGAGTAGGTAACTTGTCGTGACCTGCAGTGTGGTGAGTGGGTGAGTAAGTTGTGACCTGCAGTGTGGTGAGTGGGTGAGTAAGTTGTTGTGACCTGCAGTGTGGTGAGTGGGTGAGTTATAACCTGCAGTGTGGTGAGTGGGTGTGTTGTTGTGACCTGCAGTGTGGTGAGTGGGTGAGTAAGTTGTGACCTGCAGTGTGGTGAGTGGGTGAGTAAGTTATGACCTGCAGTGTGGTGAGTGGGTGTGTTGTTGTGACCTGCAGTGTGGTAAGTGGGTGAGTTGTGACCTGCAGTGTGGTGGTTGAACACAATGTGGATGAGACTAAATACCCTGTAAGACCTCGTCCGCAACATCGGTGGAGGAACCAACTATTGATGTTCACGGGAACCGTCACCATGGTAGAGTAACAATAAAATAATATTATTTTATTGTTTCCCTTCTACGTGACTTTACCGAAAAAAACAAGAATATGAATCCCTGCAGTCACGAAAGCTTTAAATCAAAATTTCATGGTAGAGTAGCTATAGAAGTGACATTAGGATGTGACTGACTGCCGGTGAGCGAGTGACTGGCTGGAGTCTTTCAGAGTACTCGGGTCACTAACCCTACTGCTTTACATCGTATTCCGTGGAGTAATAGAATGCGTTGTGCCGTGCAGGCTGCTCACCTGCACCACTCGATTGACACCATGCTGACACGCCTCGAGGAGTTTTGCAGCATGCTGGACATGGTGAGTTTTGGTTACCACTGCAACATTCATGCCCGACCCCCAAGGTCAAGACCAGGGACGTGCGGACAGGGGAGGCAGGGGAGGCAGAGCCTCACCTGTCATACTCCAATGAAAATATCTGTTACGAATTTTTTAAAAAATATATTTTTTCCACTGATCTGTGTTATAAATGTCATTTCTGTATGATTCCAATCATTACAGAAAGATAGTAACAGGCACGCGCTTATTGCCCGCGCTCCATCCAGTTTCTGAAGGGTTGCACAATCAGTGGGGAAGCTGAGCTCGTCGCTGCCTCACCTCTCGTCTCCCTGTATTTGCATCGGAGCTCCGCAAATTTGGCGATTTTGACTATAAAAAGGATTGGAATCATACAGAGTTGATATAACAGATCAGTGGAAAAATCTTCATTTTGTATTCATTGGCGTATGCCAGGTGAGGCTGTGCTTCCCCTGCCTCCCCTGACCGCACGTCCCTGGTCAAGACCTCACAGTGGAATATTCGTGGGTGTGCTGCACCGTACAGATGCGCAGAGATTCATCTCAGGTTGTGTCTACGAGCCTGCCCGAGATCCTGGAGCAAGCAGCTGCCATGACCACCATTTTCCACCGGGTTGATCAACTGGAGGTGAGCACGGGGACATGTCCCTCACGGGCGCAACTCTGGGTAACCACCGCACCCTACTGTGCAGTCCTCTCGCCGCTTAGCGTAACGGTCCACTGGCAACTATCTAAACCTGGTTCGGACAACCGCCATGCACTCAGAACATATTGAGTTTACTTTAAAAAAAGTGCTGTAATCTGTTGCTTACAAAGCCATAAAAAAACATTCACTTCCTATTGACCAGATAGTTGTGCCATTGACAATAAAGGACTATTTGACAACAGCCAGAATGCTGAAGTGGTGCTCAACAATCGGTGATTTTTAATCTTCCCAGGGAGTAGGTGGGGGGAGTGGCCCTGAAAATGTGAGGAATTTTAAGCAGGGCCATAGATTAATAAAAACAACATTCATTGTATTCTCCCTGTTAAATATATTTTTTTAAAAATACCAAAACCAATCACACTCCCATAGCCCCCCCTTCCCGTGGATCTGCGCCTGGCTTGGATATCGAGATCTTTGTAAGCAAATGCAGCGAGAGGCAGAAGCAGAGCTGCGTTGGATCTGCTGCAGGCATTTGTGCGACTCGTGGGGAGGGACGTGCAGGCCATGGAGGACGCTGTCGTCGCGGCCGAGCGGGAGCAAGGCTCCCTCCCGCACTCCATGACCAAGTTCTTCCGCTCCATCAGCATGCCCTCCTTCCTCAGCGTGCGTCTCCTCGACGAACAGAATCAGAATCTCCCAGTGCCCACCTCGCACCTTCCACACGCACGTACGGCCATAGAGGTGTAATTGACATTGCCCGTACTCGGGGAGGGACTGTCAAGGTCTTCCCACACATCTCCACAATCCCAGGGTCCCTCTGCTGGTAACCTCATCCGATCCTGAGTCAACTACAAGGTCCCTCTCACCGTCCCGATGGTCCTTCATTGACTCTGCCCTGCCTAACTCTCCCCTCTCATCTCACTCCACTCCCATCCACTCCATGGGCTCTTAACTTTTCCTTCTGCACCTCCGATTAGCACGGTTGGCTATGTACGGTGCGAAATAATTTCAACATTCTAATCTCACTCTACTCCCTTCCATCCATTCTAACTCTCAACTCAATTCTCCCCTCCACACTCTCCTACCTCTCCCCTTTCATTTCACTCTACCCCCTTCACATGCTGTACGCTCCAGAATCTATTAGCTTTCTCTGATTTCTAATTTGTTGATATTGTGCTGATTTCTATTTGCATCATTGTTGTACTTGTTTTTATATTGTTGCTTTTATTATTGTGGTGACCTAGAACACTTTTGCAAAGTTCTGGTTTCTTGAGTTTACACCTGGTTAAACAAAATAAACCTGAATCTTGAATGCAACTAACTGGAGGCCCTAATAGTAGTTGGAGAAAACGTCCCAACTAACCATTTGTCTGTTTTTGCAATATCTTGAGATAGTCACATTCAGATGTGAAATACAAATTCCGTTATGTTTGGCTTTTTTGTGACAATTTATATGATTACACGTAGGTTTTCACGGCCAATATGATTTACAAGTGACTGAATGGATGCATCCCTACAGTTGATTGGCTAAAGTCGTATGTAATGTCTACGTTTGGATGTGAGAATTGTTCAACTCACCGGTGAGATGAAACAAACTGACGTGTTGAACCCTTGTTCGCCACGTGACATTTTAATTCGTTGGCTGTGTCGGGTGGTGGAAGATCTTGCAACAAGTTTTTCCAGATCATCACGAGGCCTAACCCAAAAATCTATAAAATTCATGCTTTAATTTAACAAGTGCAGCTGTCGGACATAGGTTTGTCTACCAAATGCATTGCGTTTTTCTATACCAGCAGAAATCGTCCGGTCCTGACGAGGCCTCAGCTCCAACTTCCTCGCCCAGCATCCCTGCTGTGTTCCACACAGAAGACTTCATCAAGTCCCAGGAGGCTGCTTGTTGGCCAGAGGATCTGGGACTCAACGACATGCGGGATTCTAACTGAAGTTTTAGAGAAATCAGTCAACCACTCTTCCGCATCTGCACATAAATGATTTTTTTATCGACCTCTGGGCTTTCCAGACCAATATTTATCCAGCGGTATTTCTTTAAACAAGGAAATTCTAAACTGGCTTTAATTTTTTTGGATCTTGCCAGTGTGTGAGAAAAAATATATTGCTGGGTCACTTTAGATTTTTGGCAAGAGCACTTTGACAAAGTAGAGGGGCAGTGACATGGCCAAAGCAGCAGCAAGTTCACCGTTTTTTCAGGGGTTCGTGGTTTTTATCCGGCAGGCTGCTCCGTGTATTAATAAAATAAGTGCCATCTGCTTCTCTCACAGTGGGCGTGAAGAGATCCCGTGACATTCAAAACGAGTAGAAATTACCTGTAAATAACTCAATTGGCAATACACGCAGCAATCGTCGGCCCCTAATGGCAGACTAAGTGCTGAGGCACCTTGTGATGCACAGGGACAGCTGTCACTGGGGGTGCCCTTTTAATGTTGAGATGAGACGTGGTGTAAGGCAATGTGAGATAGAGGCATTTTCGTGCCATATACTGTACATGCAAATATTAGTAAAGCACGAGCCCCAAGCCAATACAAATAGTAAAAAAATAACACATTGATGAGGGGTTATGGGGATTACTGTTGGGCTGACAGAAAACCCTGCTGCTGTTGCCTGGATGATGGCATGACCGGGAATAAACATTCAATGAATACACAAACTTGTAACGCGCAGTTTTTGATATAATTCATAGGCGCAGGGAAAACACTGACCAATGCTAAAGTATCCAGAACCAGCACCAAATATTGCCCAAGGTCTTTGGCCCTATATTGAGACGTTTGGCAAACTCCTGCAATGTGTACATGTGAGATTGACAATCCACGTAGTGTACTGCCATACCCTGTCAAGCCAGGCGATTGGCAAATTTGTTTAATCCACCATCCCTTGCCTCCGTCGTGCTGCACGCTAGGTGTGTACCACCAGTGTGTGGTTCACGAATTTTGAGGAATGTGCTGCCGATTGAGCACTTGCTAATTTGCTTAAGGTGGTCACATCCTTATCACGATCAGTACGACCATGGTTACTGTTAACTTCACCCATTAATTCCTCCATTTTATACGTAGGCTTTCACGACCAATATCCATAATACGGGTTTTTTTGGTTAGATCGCGTAAATGTGTGTCGTTAAACCCGCCACCATCCGACAGCCAATTAGTAAGGTTTGTCACGTAAACAGAACAAGCCAATTCGTTAAGAGTACAGCACAGCGGTGTTGGAAAGCAAATCCACAACATTTACAATCAAGAGTACGACGTTTCACCAGTAATTGCAACTAGCTTCAACAGGTGACAGCCAGATTTGTGAAGAAATCCTGTTTCATTCCTTAAATAGAGGGGTAGATGTGATGACAACACCTGTGAGCTCTTGCGCGAAGTCGGGGGGGCGGGGGGGGATTAATGATTACATATCAAGGACTGGGTATCCATTGTCGTTCGGGTTATTTATATGGCAATCAACGTAGATGATCTTGATTTGAAGCTTTCGTGACTGCCGGAATCCACACTCTTTGGTTCTTTCGGTAAAGTCACGTGGGTAGAAAATGAATAGATCACAACGTTTCGTCAGCAGCTGTTCTCCTGCTGTGGTTGTCCCACCTGATGACGGTTGCTTGTGTTGCGATCGAAGCGTCGTGATCTATAAATTTTCTATCTACGTGATTTGAGCGAAAGAACCAAAGAGTGACGTACATTATGCAAGCTCATTGTTCTTGTACTTCCTGTCGATTGTGTGCACTAAAATAGCCATACCAATTGATTTTGATAATTTTCAATTTAAAGTTTTCGATACTGCTTGGATTCATATTCTTTGTTCTTTCGGTAAAGTCACGTAGAAGGGAAATAATAAAAATAAAACTATTTTAAAACTATTGTATTATTTCCCTTCTACGTGACTTTACCGAAAGAACCAAGAATATGATTTTGATAATGTTGAAGTTCTGTGCAAAACTTAGTTACTTCTGGCCAAGACTAATTAGAGAATATCGAAAATTAGAGAAATACAATTAATTAAAACCATTCGGATAGCTACAGACTTAGTGCTGCTTGGAAGCTAATCATCAAATAATACATTGTTTAAATACATGCCTATACAGGTCACGATACTTCAATAGGGATTACCATGAAAAACGGAAAGCTTCTGGGATAGAACTGAATGTCATCAAAGAAGCAGAAGCATGATTACCTTTTATCATTTAAATTGTATTTCCTGACAATGCGAAATTATTACCAAGTTCTACATCAACAGCTATTGCTCATGAGTGCTGTGCAAAATGTGTTTATTGGGATAACTGACGGCATGACGATTCTCAACATTCTATGACGGCATGTGCGGTGTAAATTCACAAAGATAGAAATACAGTACTCAAGGCTGACCCGAGTTAAGTGAACTGCAGTATAACTTTTGATTTAAAGCTTTCGTGACTGCAGGGATTCATATTCTTGGTTCTTTCGGTAAAGTCACGTAGAAGGGAAACAAATAAAAATATAAAACAATAAAATGATCACGACGTTTCGACTGCAATAATGATTGCTTGTGTTGCAGTCGAAACGTCATGAGAATTTTATTGTTTTATATTTGTATTATTTAATTGCTTCCCTTCTACGTGACTTACCGAAAGAACCAATAATATGCAGTAGAACTGCCAAGTTATCTTCATTCGTAGTGGAAGTACTTCCAAACCAAAAATAAAACATGTTAAGTACATTTATAAAGTTACGGTAAACTGATAAGATAATCTATATTGTTACAAATTATTTGAGAGCAAACCTTAGTAATCATGGGCAGCAAAGTGCATTGATGAACAAGGTACACACATCTGCCAAATATCAACTTTATTAAACATTTACATCCAAAATATTAATATTTTATACCTACATCATGCACGAGGCATATGGGGATAGAAACGAGAAAATGTTACGCAATGTTATTGTTGTAATCTTCACGAGCCACATAGGTTACATACAGCTCTGAAATACATTCACCTTGGGTCTGCGGACTGCACATTGCGAACACACAGCACCCCATATCGCTCTGGAAAATATCTCCCGGTTCTGGTTTCAAGAATAGGCAGGCTAAATTGTACTGCTTGCAATGTTCTAAAAGTACAACCCCAGCTGCGCCGCGTTCTCTCTCCAGCACCAGGGCCCTCTTGCACACTCGCAGTCCACTCATCCACTTCCGACGTTCACTGACGCGATGTCACGAAAATCGATCTGAATTACGGGCATTGAAGGAAAGTCACCAATACCTGGACATGTCGCCTCTGGGCCAGCTTCCATACAGTCGTGCAAAGCAAATAATGAAAGATTAAATCGAAAGTTGTATTAAGATCATTTATGAATGCGAAACTCTTATAACCCAGGTTATGAGTGTGCAGAAGCCTCTGCTATTCATGTTTTGTTGCATCAACAGTGGAGGCGTGTTGTCTCATCCCACAGTGTTCACTCGCCACACTGCTTCTTCCCTCCCATCGTCTCTTCTCGAAAGCTCTTAGATAATAGCCTTGCCTATTCATGAAACCCATCAATTCTTATCTGTTTCAACATTAATCGTTACGTTTGTTGCAGGCCGCTTATGGTTCTTTGCCTGTGCTCGGAAACTATATAAAACAAATCTGTATTTCAGGGAAGCAAAGTTTTCGCCGAAATTATCCGACCTTTGTAAAATACATAAAGCTTCACATTAATACAAAGACGAAACATTATAAACACGTTAACCGAACATCACCAAGCAAGATGACTGTGGTTCGGCACACATGACCAGGATCGCGTTTCAAATGGGGGTCGCATTCATGCCCTCACAACCCATGAAATTATTTAATCTATGTACAGTAGCAGTATTATATATATACAGTAGCAGGTCCATGGGTTATATTCATTGTATTATTTACACCTCTTTTACCCAGAAATAATCTTATTTTAGGAGGGTCCTGCCAAGTTTTCACGGTAGGGGGCGATGTTGCTGGGTGTGGAATCCCAAATGAGTAATTTGCAAGTATTTTTTCAGCATTGGGGTGGTTGTCTAATACCAGGTACACCGTGTGAGATTATTAGCTGGAAAAAAATTGGAGCTAAACATTTACACCTCCACGTGGTCCGTGTGCTTACTATGCCCCGCGTGCTTCACGTGATCCATGTCATTACTGTGCCCTGGGTGCTCTGCATCCCCCGTGTGCCCCACGTGCTTACTTTGCCCCGCGTGCTCCGTGTGCTCTGTGTTGTCTGTGTGGTTACTTTGCCCTGGCAGCGCTGTTTTTTCCATCGGGATGTCCCACGTGGTCGAGTCCAATACAGGGAAGAAGAGGCCGTGGTTGAGGCCCTGCATCTCCAACATGCTGAACCCTAGCAGCACGTGGGTCCGATGTGCCTCGATCGAACGTAGGCATTCCTTCTGCTTGCAGGCAAACAGAATGGCCGCGTCTCCATGGCACATCCACAGTTTCTCTGTGAGCAGGGCCACCTCCTTCTGGTTTGGGTATGGGCGCTCGTTGAAATATTTCACGAGGAACTGCTTCCTTTCGTCGTAACTCTTGTCGACGTGGTCGGTCGGATCTAGAGCCAGGTGCATGGATCCGCTGCTCCTGTTATGATGCACTGCCTTTTTTAATGTACAGCCCTTCTGAATGATCACAGCTGTTGTGTTTTGTTGTAATTTTGCCTTAGTATCCCTGAAACTTGGATTGTGCACTGGTGTGTTTTTGACACAACGTACTGCGATCTCAACCCGTGGCGCCGCGTTGCCTCCATTGTGATCCACGACCTTCGGTTTGTACTGAGTGATCCTCACCTCCTCAGGAGAGTTCACCGTGCAGTCGTCCTTTGTACCAGCCATTACCCCAAGCACCTTACGTTCCATCACCTGCATCGGGCAGTGCTTCTTGTGAGCGTCCAGCGCGTTGACATACAGAGGATAGTGATACTGTACTTTGCAGTGAAAGCAGTAATACTTCACCATGTTCTTTTTCCGATCAAAAGTCTGGCTGACGCCATGCGTTGTATTAAGGTGATGTTCCACCATGGCAGCGATCTCCTGCTGGGGTCCCCGTATGGTTGCCCCGCAGAACACGCAAAGTGCGTGCACCTGCCCCAGGAAACCGCGGAGCGCATTGCCGGAGGTCTCGGCTGCGGCATCCACGGCCCCGCTGGCTCCTGGAGACTCGCGGCGTTCACACCAGGGGGCGGTGGCGCCGGGCTTTTTACCCAAATCGCCGGGTATAGGTACAGCAGGGACGGTGACCAAGCAGCTGCTCGATGCACAGCAAAGAGCTGTGGGTGTTGGCATCGCGGCGGCGACGGCGGCATGCGCAGAGGGTGTAGAGGTCTGATTCACTGGCACCATGGTTATGGGGCCCGCGGGGCCATTGTTGACCGTCACAAAATATTGCTGCATCGGGGCGGCCGGCAGGGTCGCAGCAGCGGTGACACCGATCGCTGCGGGATTCACGCCATCGCAATTTACGACCCCCTTCGTTGTCGTGCCCACGGGCATCTGGGCCGAGCTGGAATGAGCAAGACCGGGAGCTGGCTGCAACAGCAGCTGCAGGGGCTGTCCAGTCCCGCGGTTGCAGATGGTGACGGTCTGCGGCATCATCCCTGAGGGCATGTGAGGAACTGTCACAACGTGCGGCTGCTGGGGATGCGTCATCATTATCTGCGTGGTGCCTGACCCCCACATGCCATTCTGTAGCTGATGCAATGCTGAGGCGGTGCCGGGGTTCACGGCGAATTGCGCCTGAGCTGCTTCCGAAACGTTCACCGCTGTAGGCGACGCCATCGCTAAGTGAAACTGTGCGGCAGTGTCTGCTTGCTGACGCAGCGGTTCCTGTCCGGACATCACGTTATTCTCAATCGCTTTGCTTACTGTGGAAATTACGTTTTGTGCGCACGCGGTCGTCACTCGGGAAGAGACAGCAGGGGGCTGCTGGTTGGACTGCATTGCTGGCATGGAGGGCGCTATAGACACAAAGCGGGGAACTCCACCAGACTGCGGAGCCTGCGATAAGTTCAGTGTGAGCAACGCTGGCATGTTGCCAAGCTGCTGTGATTGTGACGCAACAACAGATTGTTGAGGGACCAACTTAAGAATCAACGACTGTTGATCTTGGGTAGACACTGGGACCGGTGGGAGGGTGAAAGTGAAGATTGGGAGAGATGGATTCGAAGGTTGACTCTGCACGGTCGCACCACTGCATGGCTGCGTTATGTTTGACACGGTGCACTGAGGTTGCAACAACGTGTTTGGCATAATGTTTTCTGGTGCCTGGAAATCGTTCGTAAACGTTTGTGAGTGCGCGGAAAGACAACCTGCGGAAGATCTTGCGGAAATGACGGCTTGCGATTCAAGAATTGCAGAGCCACTAGTCCCGTAGTACGGATGCTCTTTGGCCATGTGTTCCAGCATCTGCCGATGTTCCTTGAAGGCCAAGAGGCAGTACTGGCAGTGCAGGCTATGCTGCAGCATGTGCTCTCTCAGCATCGTGGGATGCATCTCCGCTTTGCACAAGGAGCACTCTGACATGCGTGGATCTGAGAGGCCGCTCTCCTCTGCCAGTGTGGGGCCGTGACACGTGAGGGAATGCCCCAGAAATACCCCCGAGGTCACAAACTCCTTGCAGAACCTGCAGAACTGAAGTTTTTGTGCCGGTACTACTAATCGTGATCCGGTCTTGACCTGTAGTGACGAAACGGTCGAGCCCACTGTTCCGCCATTCTCCACAGGAACCATGGACGCTTGGCTCGGTTGAACGCTCGGAGGTGCAATCTGTGACGGGGGGGCTAGGCAGAGGGGCGGTGGCGGTTGGAAGGCAAGCAGCTGTGTGGGACAGATGTACTGCTGCTGCCCGCAGCCTCCCGGCCACGACGGCGCGAAGCTGGCGTATCCGACGAGAGACCAGGGGTGCCTGGGGTCGTGCGAGGCCGCCGCGTGCCGCAGCATCGTCTCATAGTCGCTCTCCTGCCGTCTTGGTTTTTTTGGTCTTTACTGCCAAGGTGCCACTGGTCTGTTCCTGCGTAAACACACGGAGAGAAGTAAGCATAGCAGCTATGAAAGCAGCACAGTCTGCTTCATTGACAATTGCAATTCCTAAGGTAATGCATGTTTTATTTTGCTGCTTTTGTTAGGAATGTTAAATTTTAAGATGTCCACATGTCTCTTAAATGGGTATTGAACATCCTGTATGTAATATAATTAATTAAAAGTCATATATACGGTTCCTCACTTAACACATGGTTACACACCACGTTTTCGCTAAAATGCAGCTCTTCCGTTAAGGAACACTTTTCGCACAATGCGGAATGCGCACCGTGATAATGCGGTTTCTGAGCGGTCGATTTCCTTGAGGTGCGTGGCTGAGTGGTGTGATACAGTACGCGGAATGATGCATCAACGCGGCGGCATACCCTCAGTTATTTGTTCCGCCATCTTACTGTGTGTACGTACATCATATCTCGCCAAACTTCGTTAAATTATTTATTTGGAAATTGTTTTTGCTTCAACGCGTTTTTCGCTTAATGTGGCACTTTTCAGGAACGCATCCAATGCGTTATATGAACATTATGGTGGGACCCCGGGGTCCCATAAGCCCCTGGCTCTCGCATAAACATGATATTATAATAAAAAAAACTTTGCTCTTTTTCACCAATGGGTTTAAAGGATGGTAGCAAGTGTTGTCTTGTTAAACTATGCCTTTAAAACTGAAAATTACTTACCTGCAGAACCTCTATTTACATACACTATAGAAAAAATAATTTACACCCCTCTGTCAATCATCGTGTTTCTCAGTGTGGATTTGTGAAAACACTTGTAAACAGCACGTAAAATAGTACGCGTTTTTCAATGCGCTGTTCATATTTTAACACAAGTTTATACCAAGGTTACTCTACAGAGTAGTGGGTCGCCGATCCTCTTATCCGCATTGATAAGAGCGGTATGTGGGGACTAAGGTTTTTTTTCGGTTAAGCCAATCTGCACAGATGCATACAGACAAAAAATATGATCAAAAAGGAGGAATCAACGGTGCAACGCATCTCAACTGTTAAATAGCTGCAGGTAATAGGATTGTCATCGATTGATCCTGGCTATAGACATTGGTTCGTCACAAATAATAATTAAGATAAGAGAGCAGTTTCACTGTATTATGCATACCGTTATGACAAATAAAGGACTTAAGTCGTGTAGGCAGTTTGTGCAGCTTTGGATAAGACTAATGATCCTGCCCATACCCGAGCATGGAGTACATTCGCTTGTTCAGCTCTTCTGCGTATTCGTCCTCGCTGCGCTTGGACGACATGACAACAGAATGATTCGCGCCAGGTGGGTCACGGTGTTTATGTGCGCGGTGGGACGGAGTTGCCAAAAAATAATTAATTACGATTTTGACTTCCATTTATTCGGGACCCCAGGGTCCCGCCATAAAGTTCAAATGAGGATTTAGTGTACGCTCCATTTCCAAGCGAGGCAAACAGAACGATATTTGAATGGTCATCCTCCTAGTTGGACGTCTCTTCCCACAGTGGACAACAGCAGAAGGCCTCTCAGATAACAGTGATAGTTAGTAGACAGTTCAGCTCCACAGGGACACGCATGCAGAGATAAACAGTGAGAAACAGACACACAGATGGACAAAGAAATAACGCCAGTTACAGAGAGAGGCACAGTCAGACCCTGTAATACGTCCAACAGAAAGGTAAAACATTCAGCTTGCAAAGCGTTATAATGCAAGGCGTATGCATAATGGGGATACGCATTCATATGTACAACATCGTGAGCTTTTTTAGCGATGCTGTGTAGCATAAATATTTTTGACATGTGCTTGTGCATTTGAATAATTTAATAACGTGCACGACGTCATCGCAAACACGGCTGTGATACTTTACGATGAGTCTCATTGGCCACTACTGGCAGACTAATGCCCACTTGCAAGCCAGGTGCTGAGTCACCTTGTGCTGCCCAGGGACAACTGCCCCTGCGGGTACACATTTAAATGATTGCGATGAGATACAAATCTTGCATCGCGTGTGAAGCGCTGCGAGAGACTGCGAGACGCTCCAAGACGCTGCGGCGCACCGCAGGGCGGTTCCATCAAACACAGGTCTGTTAGTTTAACACGTATTACAGCTCTGGAAGTTTGTTTCGTTACCGTGGTGGCCGGCAAACTCGCCAGGGCTTTACGCTTGTGCTTTGCGGGAGGTTCGTGTTCAGTGAGCAGCTCCCAGTCCGTGCACTGATAGTTCCAGGTAACCAGCTCCTCGTCCTCCTGGTTCTAGCATGCATAAAGACAAATATCCCCCATATAGCCTTAAGAGACTGTCAGGGCCAGTGCAATAGCGAGCACCCTATAAAGGCTGGCACAGCGCACGAAGGGGTGGGTGGCCAGCAGCCCACGCCAGGCCGCACGTGCTCAACATTGTACATGACAGATACATTCAAATAAGGAATGTTAAACAAAAACTGGTAAACCAGTAATCTATTTTCCCAATCAATTACCAGTTCTGAAATGGAATACCTGTCAAAGGTTAAAAAATACAGCACTGCCTTCATGCTTGTCTAACTGGAAATCTGCGAAACTACTGGGCAACTGTGAAAAAGAGGTTCATAGCTCATCAGATTCCTCCAGGATAAATAAAGATTTTGATTCCGATTAGTTTTTTCATAAACTCCCAACCTGCGGTATTAACCAGGGCGGCCTACTGGATTCAAACAGCAAACCTTTGCGACAAAGGTCAAACGCGCTACGGCCGGGCGGTGCCAAACACCTAATGCGAGCACTGCACGCGCTCAGACTTCACGGCTGCAGACCCTCGCGGGTGATCGAACCTGTTACCTCCACAAACGTCTGGCACCACTCCAGGCCAATGTCGCACAGGATTCTCTTGACGGTTTTACGGCTCTTGCGTAGACACTCCAGATTTGACACAGGCAGCTGCAGTGACGACCCAGCTGCTGCAAATACAGACATCGCAACAACCCCCCTGGCTGTTACTCCTGGCGTGCTGCTGCTACGCTAATCACAGCGGTTAAAGCACCGGTTCTTGACACTGTGCCTCAACAGTGAGTGGAGAGATTCGAGTTTAAATTCTGGTTGGGTTTTGACTTCAGCACATAATCCCTCACGGGTGATTGAAATTAGTACCACTTTGTGGGGAAGTCAACAGTGGTTGTCGTATGGATAGACTCGCCATCACCATAATAATACGGAATTTCTACCACTGGCTCAGGGTTGTAAATGGAAAATGAGCACTTGTGTTATGTTTTGACTTCCCTGGGTCGAAAACAATTCCACCCCAATATTTTAAGGGTCCACGTTACCAAAGGTTTAATTGACATTGTGTAATGTTTATTCTGGACCGTGGATATGCTTATATCTTGCAGTGAACGAGCAAATAGTGTGAACAGTCAGAATGATATTGGTACCTGGCTGTTGTTGGAAAAGGTCGGTCTTCATATCGGAAGTCATGGCATCCTGGGGAATAGAGAATAACATTTATTCTACAGCGCAAAGGGTTTCATTGAATTTAAACTCACAGTTGCCAGGCACTGGCACAAAAGCCCAACATCTCAAGCGACTGGCAACAAACAGCACTTTTAAAGTTGTAATAGATTCCTCCACCCAAGTTGAGGGACCAGGTCAACCATGCTATTTCATCTCATCCACATGGCGTTAACCACCACCACTCTGCTTCTTCCCTCGCCCTCTGCCTCCTTGAAATTCCCTCCCAATATCGTCGTCTCTTTTCCAAGCTCTCATAACAACCTTGCTCAATTCGAGAAACGTGTTACACCCTTGTCTACTATAGCTTTGACGGTGCTATTTGCATTCTGGCCGCTTGATGTTTGGGGCATTTGGACCCATGCTCAGCAACTCTGTGTGTGCCCCCTAGGAGGTAGCGCTGACCTGGCTCGCTCGTGGAGAATGTGCGAGCTGCTGCCACTGCTCTTGCTCCATGGGACAACCTGTACGGAATGGAAAGGCAGATTAAATATATAGAGTGTATATAGTGTATACACCTGAACCCATGGACAGGATAGAATGGCAGGAAGTTGTCTGGTGATGTCAGAGCCACGTGGCAGCCATGTGTCACAGCTGTAGCTGTTTAACTATACATGTTTTATTTGTGTATAGCAGTGTCATCCATACAAGTCGCAGACCAAAACGCTGCAGGTTCCTCAAAGCGACGTAGGAACCCACAAAGATGTGCTTGGTAAGGCAGCCAAAAAACCGACACCGAAATGTGCCCAAGCTCTGTGATCCTATATCATGACGTGTGGCCAACTGCATCAACACGGTGCATGAATGTGTGCGATTCGCCATCACTGCCTCCACAGTTCTGTGTTACAAGTTCGAGCGGCAGAGCCATGGAGAATGTAGCATATGCAAAACGTTTAATCTTTATGCAGCATTCAAAAGGCTTAGGGAACAGTAGTGTTAAGCAACGTCTTGCATTTGGCCTTCATACAATACAGGGTTATGCAGATTATACGCAGTGGATTAAGTGTAACATCGTTAGTTGGACTTCAGAGACGGTGGCACGGCCAATCGGTAGCGCATGCTGCAGAGGTTGACGGTTCGACACAGCGGCCGCCCTAGATATTACTGTGGCTGTCTTACGAGCAACTTTACATTCCGGAGACACGTTATTTCGGGGGCTCACTGTCCACCCCAGTTTAACACGTAGTGGTAGGCTTTCGAGACCAATATCATCCGTAAAAAAAATATTTTTTTGGGGTCCATTAATAATGTTTGTCACGTAAACAAAACGTGCCCGGTTAGTTACTACTTAAGCACACCGGTGTCGGGAGAGTAAACCCACAATATTTACTATCCGAGTTCGACGTTTCGTCAGTGATTTACAACAACCACAACCAACTTCATCAGGCGACGGCCAGTTGCTCTCCCCACCCCTCGAACGTCACGCTGGGCGCGCCCAAGCGACGAGAAGGGGGGGGGAGGAGCATGGCGTGAGGGACGCGTCTATTCGCGCTCGCGGGGGTGAGGGCGGAGCGTGCGGGCCTGGGGCGTACCCCCGTCGCGGGCCCCCCCCCCCCCCCCGTCGCCCCCACCGTCGCCAACCACGGGCGCGCGGGAGGAGCGAGGGAGGGAAGGCAGGTAGCACGTACCTCAGCCGGAGCGTCACCGGCTGGAACAGAGCCGGCTACCGCCACCAGTACCGCACGGCGCAAGCAGAGGGAGCTGCAGCCCTGGCCGCGTGACGGCCCGCGCGGGCGGGCGGGCGGGAGAGAGGGAGGAGAGGGAGGAGGAGGAGAAGGCGTTGACGCCGCTCGCCGCGCGGAACACAAAAGAAGGCTGCCCGTGTTTTCCGGAACGTACGTCACGCGATATATTAATGAGCCAGCGCTTGGACGAGTCCATTTATATGGCACGGGGGCGTGGGTGGAGCCAATTGCGAACCCAGCATGCATCGCGCGGCGCCAGAACGCGGCGAGATAGGCGCGTTGTTCTAGGCGCCGCCCCTCGCGCGGACGAAGGGGCGGGGCCTACGGGATGAGTAGGCGGGGGCTTGTGTGCGCGGCAGGCGGGGCTAACGGGGTGAGTGGGCGGGGCTTGTACGCGGAAGGCGGGGCCAGAGTCGGTGGAGGGCTCGCCCTGTGGGCGGGGCTAGTGGGTGGGGCTGGATGGTAGGACGGGGCTCGTGGGAGGGCGCGTCTGGGTGGGAGGCAGGGGCTGGTTGGAGGGCCGGGCTAGTGGGAGGGTGGGGCTGGTGGGAGGGCGGGTCCCGTGGGAGGGCGGGGCTGGAGGGGAGGGCGGGGCTGGAGGGGAGGGAGGGGCTGACAGTCCCCGCCCCCCGGCGCGCGTGTCCTGGCAGAGCCTCGAGAAATGTGGCAGCTTTTTCGTTTTTTTTCTGGCACGAAAGTTAACATATTCACATTTTGTAATCACTTCTTAATCACTCTCATCTGGGGGGTAAGCGTGAATAATAGAAGTGATGTGTAAACCGTAGGAAAGTCTGTGGATAAATGCGGGGCCATGGATAAAGATCTCGTGGTAATTGTATTTTAAATGCAGCAATATCTCAATTTACGTCTCCCCCTTTTACGTTGTTTCGCAAATACATCGTCATGTACTTCAAAATGTGTTTTGGGTTGGGCCACAGTCATCTGGACACATTTTTTGACATGAAACCCTCTGCCACCCGACATAGCCAAACAAATGTAATTGTCACACGTACAGCTATTTAAAGCGTGATTATTGTTTCAGCTAACCGGTGTACTTGAGAACTCTCAACCATTTTTTTTGCAATTACAGTACATCAAACGATACGATTTGCTTTAAACTGCACTGATCATCCTCAGATCATCAAACCAGGGAGTGAATGTGCTGTTGTGGCATGTTCTCGATTATGACAGATTTCTGAATCTCTGATTTACTCCACACCAATCATCAGCATTCATGCGAAGTGGAAACAAAAAAACACGGCCAGTTTTGACTTTTTGAGTCCCATCTCAAGTGATGGACGTGTCAATCGATCCTCTGGACACCCTTGAAAATATGATCCATCCCAAGGAATTTTTCCAGGTGAAATATTTAAATGGCTGCTAATGAGGCTATACATGTCAAAACCGGTCAAGAGTTTATATACTCAGTAAATGCCACACTGAGTCGAATGACTCTTTTACAAGCTCCTGCGTATTGTTTCTATATTCAGATGTTTTCCAGGGGCAATTAATGAGCGGTCATGTGTAGAAGAGGAAATCAGAGCTTTCGTGCGAGGGGGAAATAGGCAATGCAGAATGGACAGATGGGGATTAAATTTTGATTTAAAGCTTTCATGACTGCAGTAATTCATATTCTTAGCTCTTTCGGTAAAGTCTTTACCGAAAGAGCTAAGAAGATGGGGATTAGTCCGCACTTTACCGAGACAGGGCTCGGCTCCTCGTCGACGCCCACGAGGATCTACACAACATCTGCGTGTGATCCACCAGCCCCCGCTGCTGCATCCAGTACTGAATCGGAGGCTTGCACAACCCCCAATGAACTCTAAGAAGAGAAGTCCCTGTGGCTGATGGGATGCGTAAAAACGTGTTTACTCATCACGTGGAGCGTTAGATATGTAAAGGAGGTGCCCTGTCATTCTGTTTCGTTCACTCGTAACGCATTGTGATGTTTCATTAAACTGTAAGTTCATTATTTTTTCAATGTGTTTATATTATTATTTGTATGCTGAGTATCTGCTGCTGCTGCTGTGTCCTGTACAGCGCTTTGAAGTCATTGATGAAAAGCGCTACATAAATGTATTTATTACTTGATGATTGCGGCGTTTGCAGTGGTACACAATTGACACGAAGCTCGTCACGTTCATCACCAACACCGCCTGGGTGAGTGAGAGGAACGAGTAGTTTATATTTTTTAAAAAGGCGACTGTCGCCTGACATTTCCTAAAACGTTTCGAAGCAATGGCCCTTCATATCGAAGCCATCCCTGTGAACCCCTTATCAGTGCCCAACCTTATTACAGGTTAATTCAGAACTATTTAGTCACCCCGTGCCCTTATAAATCTCAGCGTTCATCCTACAAAGTCCCAGCACAAGGGATAAACACAAACAAATACACAAATTCATGTTTTGTAGCCCGTATTTAAACGGCTGTGCGCTATATGGACCTGAAAACTCAATTTCCCTGTTACAAGAATACGGGGTAAAATCGTGTGGGTTCACAGCTATGCAAAGGGTCCAATTTTCACACGGACGTCGCACTGCGATTCTTAAATTGAAGGCGCATGCGATATAAAAAAAACAAATAAAGTTGACTCTGATTATAATCTAGATTTAAAGTTTTCGTGAATGCATGCATCCATACTCTTTGGCTCTTTCGGTAAAGTCACGTAGGTATAAAATAAATTAAACCACGACGTTTCGGGCGCAACACAAGCGTGGTTGTCCCACCTGATGACGGACGCTTGTGCTGCGCCCGAAACGTCGTGATTTAATTTATTTTATACCTACGTGACTTTACCGAAAGAACCACAGAGTATGTGATTATAATGATGTGGTGGGGTCAAGGTTGCAGCATCGCCCTCCGGAAGCCTCCGCGGTGGCCGTGGGGGGGGGGGGTCGCGCGGGGGGGGGTCGCGCGGGGGGGGGGCGGAGGAGGGGGTGCGGGGGAGGGGCTCGCAGGGGGGGGGGGGGGGGGCGGGGGGGGGTCGCGCGGGGGGGGGTGCGGGGAGGCTCGCAGGGGGGGGGGGCAGGGTCGCGGGGGTGGGTTGCGGTTCCGCGGCCGTTGGTTGCGCGAGCCGATCTCGCGAGAGTTGTTGGGAGCGGCCAATAGGAACGGCGGTCGGGGAGAGCGCAGTTCTCGCGAGAGTTGGTATGAAAAGGCAAGAAGCGCGGGAGACCGCGGCTCGAGTGGAGTTGGCGCGCGCGCAAGGAACAGCGCAATAACAATAACAAACACAAATAACTACTACACCACAACAACCACAACACTACAACAGACGCCGTTCAGTTGGCGGTTTACACCACTGCGCTTGTTGGTGCCAGGCTAGGTGGACGTTGAGGCCGTTTGCGTGCGGTGTGCGGAGGGGGCTCGCGTCAGCCACAGGTGGCCGCCGGTCGGTGCTTCGCCTCACGTTACTTTTGCGTTCGTGTTTGTCGCTCCTCCGCCCGCGCTTGCTGTAAGCAGGCACGCCTGCTTCTTCAATGCCGGCATTAGAACCCCTCGAACTTCTTGATTATCACGGTTGGCTGCGTACGGTGCGAAAGAGGTTTCAACACACGGGTCCTGGTTCCACGAAAACTATTGCGCACCGCAAGAGTAATCGTCAACGTGGTTTTTTTTCTCTTTTGTAAACGCGTGATAATTTTATTGTTTCCCCTTCTGCGTGGTTACTTTACCGAAAGAACCAAGCATACGAATCCCAATGCTTTAATAAAATCAAAATTTTAAAACGCATGAGCGTTGAGCAAAAGCGCCGATTGTCGCGTCTTTTATTATTATTATTGTTGTTGTTTCCGCCTTTGCAGGGAGGAGACATGGCTCAGACTCCCGTGTCGTCTGCGGTGCCGCTGCGGAGACCCCTCGGCCTGAGCGCCTCCAAAGAGAAGTCTGCGCGCATCCGCTTGCTTCAGCTGAACTTCAGGAAGCGCCTCTCAGCGCAAGCGGCCACGGTGAGAAAAATGCAATGTTTTTTTTAATGAAATGTACTAGTGGTAATGTAAGGACTCCTCCAGGAAGTGGCCCCGAAAGCTTGCCACAACGCAAGGGGGAGACAGTGGTCAATTACAGCCAACGTCAGTTGAGCGTGGACATATTAGACCCAAGCCGAAAAATAACATGTAAAAATTATGTTTAAATAGATTTTTTTTTATGATAGAATAAGGTATTGTCATCAGTATGACATAAGTATACCAAGTTTGCAGTCGATTCCACATTGGGAAGCGGGTTAAAATTGAGTTACAAGATTTGAGGATACAACAACAGACAGTGAGTTAATAAAAAGCGTGTAATAATAAAAAAACACCCCCACGTAGAACGCAAACTTGTTTAGGCCAAACATCCCAAATGCAAAAAAAATACCTTAAAAATTACTCTTGGGATTAGACGTAGCAAAAAAATTGCTACCACCTGCGAAAACTAGGCAGGAACCCTCTCTGAACTATTCTTGAGGCTCGGTGAGGTTTTCCTGTGTAAACAAGGGTTACTATTAATGGCCATGCTGATGTACGTAACACGAATCGCGAGGATAGTTGTTGAGAATAAATGACCCAATACCTGCCACCACGGCGCCTGTGCCAGGCTAGGTGCACTTTGAGGCAACCACTTGCACCGTCGAAGGCTCGCTGGCAGGTCACGGGACAGACCCAGGTGGTGCCATGGGTTGGCCGACTGAGATGACTGGCAGATGCACCAGCTGTATACCCCCTACCGTGCCAACATGCTGCATTAAAGCCACCCGGTGCTCCGCTGGTTGTTGAATAAGTAACAATACATATACAACACACTATTCCATATCCGTCCCTCCCAGTCACTGCCTTTTGGGAGTGATATTTTTCGGCAGCATTGGTTTCATATTGTACAAGCAAACTCCGGTTTAGACATTCGCGCTTTCAAAAGCAGTCGTATACATAATAGTTCATTACAGCAGGGAACTGCAATAGGTATGCTGTACCCACCACTCATGCGAGTGATTGGTGCGAGTTGCCGAGTTCAGTGTGTAAGCTGCTATCTTTGATTGTGTATTTGTTTACCATTATGACTTACTAAGTTTTTGAATGTACTATATGCATGTTGAACTTCTTTCGCACCATACGTTGTTAACCGTGTTCATCGAAGGTGCGGTGGGAAGGACAACAAGACTAAACACGAAAAGCAGTTGTAAAGAAGTCGTTGCTGATCACTGTAGAAATCATTACTGCTGAAAATTATTCGACTGATGCTGGCTTTTAGGCGCTTGTTGTAGCATTGTCAGTGGTGCCACGTGCGGTCTGTTCCCTGCGAGGCCTCGGTAGAACGCTGCCCTGCGGCAGGGAATGACCTCGCTGCTGCGCAAAATCCTGTGGACTCTGCGCATCCCGCATGAGTTTCTGGGAATGGGAACAAACTTGAGAATACCAATTGGGAGTGGGATGGGAATGAGATGCCAAGCTGATGGAACTGGGTGTAAAAGATAGGTTTAGCCTTAGAACAGATTTATAGTAGAGTTGTATTTTTTTACACAGTTGCTGAGCACAAGGCCAAAACGTGAAATGGCCAGTAACAAACAGCACTCTTGCTGTGTTAAAACCCTTGCATACGTAACAAGTTTATTTGGCCTTTTCAGTTGGAGGACGGTTTATGACATTCGTCAGATCATTACCCGACTTGACCAACATATCCTGTTACGAATTTGAATTTTCAAAGTTGTAATAGATAAACGGTAACACGTTTCTCAAATTGAGAAAAGTTATAAGCTTGGGAAAATAGCGTGGAGCAGTGCAGGGGTAGACGCAGAAAGAAGCATTGTGTCTTGCAGTGTAGTGGTTGAACACTGGTTTGAAATGAAACGGTCTGATAGAACGAGTCCTTAACATGGTTGGATGAATGGGAATTAAGTGAGAAAGTGACTGGAGTGAATTAGTGACTGCTGGATCATCAACCTGACGATATGATGTATATTATTATGTTATTGATTGACAGTGAGGGATATTTTTAGTTGGGGACAGCTGAAGCTGTTCTCATGCATAGTGTTCAACTGTAACATATTGTACCACAATGTTGCAGGATGCATCGCCCGCATTATCTATAAAGCTTCCGAAAAATGCAAGCACTCCAGACATGAGTCCTTACACCCTGTTGAAAAAGATCCACAGCACAGGTAAGAAAATGGCCTGAGACACCACTACAGTTGTTCAATAATAAAACCTAAATCTATTAGAGCAAACCCCTACCTCTCGATCTCCCATTGTCCCTTCAGCAGCTGAGCTATCCATGCAAATTGTAGATATGAGCAGGCAGTCTCAAATTAAATCAGATTGCATGTCATGCCTTACTTAAAGCACAACTCTCAATGTATTAGAACAGTCCGGGTGGAATCTCAATCAGATGTTTTAATCTGAGACAAGGCCCTTGTATGGATGTAGTTTCCTTTAGGATTCTTAAGGTTCACTATTAACACCTGAGGCTCCGAGCCAGTCCAAGGAATCTGAGATGTTTGAAGAGTGGTGTTGCCACAGAGGACCACGTTGGAGAGATATGACACAAATTAGCAGTGACAATTAGATCACGTGATGCGAGTTTCATGGCGAGTGCCCCACAGTCAATCATTTTCAATAGTGAGTAGCAAAATAGATTTTCTAAATCACAGGCTGAAACAAAATTCACCCCTTACTAACACTTCTTTATAACTCAACATATATTTTTTCTGAAGAAAGGACATTGCTGACAATGTCAGCCTGCTATATATTTTTCTCCAATAAGGCAGTAGTAAGCATGACAATGGTGAAGTGTTTTGAAGCACAGGCAAAATGGATCCCTGGGTTTCTTTTCATGTTGCCCACAGCCGTGGAGGTTAGCCCTGTGGAGGTGTTTAAGCCCATGCCTGAACATGTGAAGGATGATGCGGAGACTTGCAAGAAATCTGAAACAAGCAGGTCAGTACATTAAAGTTTCTTTTAAATGTCTGTCATTGCGTCTGGCGCAAATCACTTGGCACTGTAATGTCCACGTTGGATTTAAAAACACGTGATTTTATATCGAGTACTTATTGCTAAATTGAATCCATGGTTCACACTTAAATTTTGGGTTAAACCACAATGATCTGACCGAACTTGTTGTAAGACCCTCCACTACCTGATATGGCCAAACAAATATAATTGTCATTGTACAAGCATTTAATGCACAAATAATTGTTTTAGCTCAATTTAATAATCAGTGCATTTGTACATATCACAATTTAATGTGTGTGGTTATGTTGGTTGGTAGAGGGTTATACGACAAAAGTTAATTATGAATCCTAATATTGACTGTGGCAATCTTATGTATTAGGTTCATCCAAAGTTGATTAACCTTGTTCTGATTAATGTAAATGGTACAGAAATGGTGTCCATAAATGTGAGAAATGTATCAACTTTTGAGTTGTAAATCTGTCGTTGTTGTGGTGCTGTTGGGTGCAGTATGTTCGAGTTCACACCGACGGACGAGAGTGAGAGCGAGACACTGCAGCAGCGGCACCACCGCCCCATGATGACGCCGGTCGACATGCAGACATTCACCAAGAGATTCCAGCAAGCCATGGATGGCAGAGGCAGGTTCCCACTTTAGTGCTTGAAATCACCATTGCTGCTGATCTAATGTTACAGCTCTCAGCCAGTGGTGTAAATTCCTCATGCCTATTGCAGGGGAAAATATTTCCAAAGGAAAACCACTGTTCAACTTCTGCACATATTCGGCACTAATTTTATCGCCCTTGGAAGGATGATGGGCTGAGTCAACCCCAGACCAGGATTTGGCTGGATATGACAATTCTGTGGCTATATATACCACGGTTGCATGGGTTTATGCATATGGCCACGAGAATGTGATATGCACACACTCGACTTAATGTGTAAATAACACATTGATGTTCGATATTTCCCTGATATTTTCTTACGAGCCCTTAATTCTTTAAAATGCCTTGATATGTTTTTATTCCAAGTATCATTATTCAAGAATGAAGGGCCAGGGCACTGGGCCTCAAGTCTTAGGCTATATTATACATGGACGCGGGGTGCGCTTGGGTTTAGTGCAGTAATGTGTAACTGCTGTAAAACAGAAATTAGTAAGTTGTATTGTAGACCTGAGATGTGCAGCATTTTAATAATGATGAAGAGTTATGTACAGGAAAGGTGCACCACTTAGTGTCTGCTTAATTTATTATCAGAGCTGTCGTGGTATAATGGGTAGCACACTGGACTTGCAATCCAGAAGTCGCCAGTTCGATTTAGTCTCCTTGCACGGCAGTTGACACGTGGTGCAAGTCTTTTTATTCTCCCTACTACGACGAACCAGGATGAATGGGCATGCCACAATTTGTAAAACAGCAGGGCGTGGCTGGTGGGGTAAAGTGTGGGTACGCCCACCTCTTCCAGCACGGTTTGTCAACATGGAAGAGTAGACCAAAATACCCTCTAGAGCTCCCTTTACCAGAAGCCCTACTGCCGACAGTGGCTTGAGCAAGCAATTGCTGGGTTGCTCCTGTACCCCATTGAGGCATTAATTAGGTAATGGTACAATATCCGGAATTAAATATTGTGATGTGAAATGTTTTTACAGACCTACCTGCATTGGAACGATCTGCCATGAGCAGGTAATGTAATCTGTATGCAGTGCATTTCATAAATATGTTTCCATCTTCAGGTGTGTATCGTCTAGATCCTACCCGAATGATTGTAACAGGTCTAAGTCAGATCTTTATTTTCCGAATCATTGTGTCAGAAGCCCCTATACAGGTTATACGTTTAATTGCCCTTTACTCATGGAATGAAACAAAATGTAACATTACCTGCATCTCATTACATTTTAGGGACATTTGGAATTAGGCTTTTCAACTATTTCAACGCTGCTCTCTGGCCTCTACAAATCCCTCATCTCCAAATCCCAATGATCCAAAATGCAGCTGCAAGATTTCTCACCAGTATCCACAAACGAGACCATGTCACCCGAGTACAGTACTGCACCCGCCCCTGATAACGGAACGTAGAGTGGCAGCAACCAACCACACGAGCAAGCCGGATTAGGAAAGGTTTCTCTACCACAGACCAAATACATAGTAATAGGCTAACACAGACGGTGCGAATACTTTACATCAAGCAACTGCTGTAAAGGAATTTTATTTTGTTGTTATTCTTGGTTACCTAGGAGAGCCTCGCTGAGTTTCAAGACTTTTTCAATAGATGGCAATGTTACTGTGCGCAGTCTGAATTGAGTAATGAGCTGGTAATTATTCAACATTGGGATCCTTGGCCAATACCAGTTACATTGTTTTTTTACTTAAGGGAGGTAACAAGTGAACCCAGAGGGAACCCATACGGAACAGGGGGAGAACATACAAACTCCACATAGAAAGGCACCTGAGTCGGGAATCGAATCCAGGGCCTTGTTGCTGTTAGGCACAAGTGTTACCACTGCGCCACATTGCTACATAACTATTGAATCGCGTGTAACTTGCACAGTATGTTTTGACCGATCGCAGCTTAAGCCTGAACACTTCACTCGACTCCGAGGAGGAGGATGACGATGCGATGGGGGTGAAGATACGACGCAGCCTCACGAGGGCACCAACGCAAATGGCCAACAAGGAGGCCTTTTTGCAGCGTCTACAACAACATTTGAGAGAGGAGGCTGAGGAGCCCCGACCTGCGCACACCACAGGTCTAAAGAAGCTGCTTTCTCCATGCAAACAAAGACAATGTGATTTCCTGCTCGAGTGGGCATTGAGGCGGCGCTCGTCTCCTGTGTACAGCCCAGAGCCTGCGGTTGGAGTTCGCACATCCCCATGGCGGCAGCAAGTCTATCCACTGGGCGTTTAAGCCTCATTGCACATTACCGGCCAAATGGCTCGGCCATAGAGCGTGCAGCTCACAATATGAAGGTTGCAAATTCAAATTTGGTTCTTTGATAGACCCGCAACCACCATAGAAATGTGGAATTTTCACCACCTGGCTCAGGGCTGTAAACACACTATGAGCACCGCCTCAATGTGCAATGTGCATTGACTCTGACTTGAATGGTGTTGTCAAAATCAAGGATGGCTTTGTGCGTTTCATATTGTCAATGTCCTGTTGTGTTTCTCCGTAGACTTGATGGCTGGAGGGGTTTCTGAACTGTCCATCGGGGAACACACCTCGCATTTCTCAGAAAGTAGTAGCAGCAAGCGCACACTGAGAGACCGATCCACGCCGGGAGTCAGGAATATGGCGGCAAAGACACTAGATGGTCATATGGAAGTGTCGGGAAGGGCAGAAGACAAGCATAGTGACGATATGGAAGAAAACGGTGTTCCTGCAGAAGTGACTATGTCGGGTTACCTTAGTCCAGTTATTGACATTCACCCATCACCGCACATTGGCACCCCAATCTTATCTGCAATACAGAGTGGCCTGCAGGACAGCGATGGAGATGGCACAGGGGCAGAGGAACTGAAGACGACGCGTGAAAGCGACGAGATGTCTGAAGAAATATCTGGATTGAACCCCAGGGAGGAAGCAGAAATGTCATCTGCCGAGTTAGTATATCCCATGTCTTTTCCACACCTCGGCCACACATCTCCAGTTGGTGAAGAGTTGATGGGTGACGAGGAGGGGGGGGAGTCAAAACCTGAGTCAGACGGTGACCAAGCTGGCCCTGCTGGAGATGCCTTGGATTTTGGACGTAGCCACAATTTGGCAACGTCACCTTATGAAGAAGAAGAGAGAAGATTACGGCAGTAGTAACGATGAAGGTAATGCAGATTTTATTTTATACACACATGACCCCGTTTAGCCAGTTGCCGAGCTATTTAACAAGGGAGATTCGTGGTGCGTGAGCACAGCAAATATAAAAACAATTGCTTCGTATTGTGTAGGACTGGGATATGACATGTTTTAAATGTTAAAAATGTTAACTTGTAAAGTAAAATTTCGGCTAGCCGGACTAATAATAATTTCAACTTTTAAAGCATACAGTATTCACTCACTCTCAAAGAGAGAGAGAACGACACAGGCACGAGGAGAAACCACAGACAAGCAGGAATGCAGCAGCAGCCACGCAGTGATGAGCCGGTGCTCCCAACAATAACCCAGCACAGAGCGATGATTGCTTTGTGCAATCTAAATTGAGTAATGTTTGGATCTTGTTTTGAATTATATCAGGGGATCTTTAACTTCCATTGTGAAGCAAACGGTGCTTGTTTATTGATTAGTTTAAGGCTCTTATTATTTGGGAAATAGTTTGAATCTTAGAAATGTCAAATATTGACTTTGTTACATTGAAGCATTAATAGTAAGAACTGAAGTATATCTCACGAAAATTTACAAAGGAGTTTGTTGCTGCATGCGCTTGAACAGGAGAGTTAAAATTGCATGAAGTGAAGGCGTTCAACAAGCCCTCGCCAACTCTGAACACTCCTGCTTTCTTCACGAGAGACAAACTTTCGTAAGTGACCTTATTTTAAAGCTGAACAAATATTAATTGGTCTAATTTTTTATATCTGGTGTGTTTTGAATGTTTACCAATGTTGCACAGTGAGTTGGGCATTCCTCAGGTTATGTAAACCAATCCAGATAGTATTTGTCCAGATCATCACGTGGCCAAAACAAATCATTAATCTGAATCCAATGTTACACTGATAATTTCACCTATTGCGGATTAGCAGTCCAGAGTAGTTTGGGCTGATGTTGGTACAGATTCATAATCTTCCACATGATAGAGCCATATACTATGACATAGTTCATATTGATGTTATGCATAGCCATATGCTTGTTTTATCTCTTGCAGTAAAGGCAAGCAGAAGGGCCCGTTGAAGATAAACAAAGCTACTTCAAAAAGGGGCAAGACAGAGAAAATGTTGAAGATACCGATGAAGGAGATCAAGAATATCTGCCAGAGATTTGTGCCCTGCCGGCTGAACAGAGATGCCCTTTTGGCCATTGAAAAGAGGTATGCTGTGTAGTTAATGTGAACTGAAAAAATGTTTGATGTTTCGCCCAGGCTCAACTCCAATAAATACATTTATTTACAGTTTTAAACACAGTTGTAGAGCACAGCCCAAAGGTCCAAAATGTCAAGTGGTTAGTAACAAACAGCACTATCATAGCTGTAATAGATGAGTGTTAATGTTTCTTTAATTGAATAATGGTCTTATAAAAGCCTGGGAAAAGAAACATTGGGAGGGAATTCCAAAGTGGAGCACTGCAAAATAAGAAGCAGAAAGAGAAGTGTTGTGACCTAGAGTGTGGCAGTTGGAACACCATCTGTAAAGGGAGGACGGTGTCTGACCATAGAGATCACAGTGAAGAGATCAGGGATAAAGTACAGGGACAGATGTATTGGTGCCGACTTGTACATCATCGTAAACGTTGAGTGACACGAAGAAGACCCTCCTAGCTGAGCGGTGTTTCTCTGTGGCCGCAGCTGTTTTGTAGAGCTCTACCCCGCGGCTGTCTCTGAATGTGTCCTCCAATGCCTAGCCACCAGTTAATTCCATACCTGTCAACCCATACGGTTTACCCGTGTTCTTGTACAGGGAAATGTAGTTTTCAGGTTCATATGGCATACAGCCGTTTCAATACGGGCAATTTTTTTCCTTTTGTTTGTGTTTATCCCTTATGATGGGACTTAGTAGGATGTACGTTGATATTTATAAAGGCACGGGGGTGACCAATAAGGTCTGAATTGGTCTCTAATAAGGTAGGCACTGATAAGGGGTTGTACCTCATCTGCTTAGAGCATGGGCAAAAAACCCCTACAACTCAGATGTGCGTCAGTGTTTATGCCATAAGAAATATCAATGTTGGTACATCCATTTGGTGTCTCGTAATGTACAATATCGTGTCTTACGTTTAGAAACTATGCTGTCTCAGTCATTAGTAAGCCTTTAAAATATTTACTTTAACAGTACGAATGTACATTGTTTTATCTTTTGAATGCCGATACATTTTTGGATTCTTTATTAAGGCCTCGACACAGAGGCATTGGGTCTCTGTGTGTCTATGTTGTGTCTCTCTGTGTCTCTGTGTTGCCTCTGTCTGCTTGTGTGTCTCCGTGTCTGTGTTTTGACTCTCAAATTTAGTTCTACCTGATGACGATTGCTTGTGTTGCAATCGAAACGGCGTATTCTATTATTTAATTTATTTTCTTTCTCCTTGACTTTACTGAAAGAATCAAAGAGTAGAGCCAGAATCTTGTGTGAAGACATGAAAAATAATTCCTCATGTTTGTTCATGTCTTGTTTTGTCCTTATTCTGGTGTAATGCTGTTTGGGGTGCCACGGTGGTGGGATGTTAACTACCTTGCCTGATATACAGGAGGTCGTGGGTTCAATCCCGACCCTGACACCTGTATATTTCGAGTTTGCATATTCTCCCTGTCGTTGCGTGGATTTTTCTCCGGGTCTTCCGGTTTTCCCCTCCATTTAGAGACATGTATTAAGAGTATTTGGCTGCTATACATTTCCACAAAAGCTATTTCGATGAGCTATCATTTGTGGCCAGGTCGTGTTGATGAAAAAGAAATAGCTATGCAGCTCAGTCGGCCTTACCTGGTAAAATAAAAATAGTTTAGGATGTCTTGCACTTTTACACTGTGTTGATGTAGGTTTTATTTTAACTCTTGTCTCCGTTGACTTTCATTTTCCATTAATGGGCCCTGGCCTGGTATAAAAGAACACATGTAATAATCGGACAATATGCCTCCTTCACATTTCTGTTCTTCCACAGAAAAAATATATTTGTTACACATCCCATGATCCACAAAGCCTTCTGGGAAGTACATAATTTCAGCAGCATTCAACACAATTATTATCTGGACCAGTTTCAACATTTATTGCTTCATCAACAGTCAGGTCGGCTTGAACATTCAATGCTGGTGATTTGCCAGATTTGTATCGCCAAGGACCCTTTTATATATGGATCATAGTTCAACAGAAAATATCTTATATATATATTCGTGTTGTTATGGTTATAAAGGTCTTGATTGAAGATCTATTCATTGATTTGCAATCATTTTTCTAGTTTGCCAAGATCTTGACATGCCAAGTGCGTGTGTTTGTACGGCAGACTGCCACTGTTATTTGAACAGATGTTGGATGACCTGGATGCATTTGCATCCCATGCTGGGAGGAAAACGATTACAATCGCAGATGTGGAGCTGCTGATGAAGAGGTGAGGGCAAGGATGCCACCAAATGGGCTGTTAAAGTTTACACAACTATGTTAAATGAATGTTTATTTTTTATTTAATGTCAAGAATTAACCCAGTAAAAGCCAGTGTAATATTGAAGTGTTTTTTTCGATTGTTAAATGTTACAAAATGAACCATGAGAGATAACTCTCAAGAGTAGAGACTTAAAGACCAAATTGGCAAAGCTGTTTTGCAACTTCATCAGAGGTGATACTATTTTTAAAAACGTGTGCTGAGTACAGGCCCAAGGACCCAACGTGTTAAATGGCTGGTAACAAATACCACTGTCAAAAATAGATAAGAGTCAGTTGTAGTAGATGAGAGCAAACATTTGTTGAATTAAGTGTGATTGTAAGGTCTTGGGAAAGAGCATAGAGGGGAATTTAAAAGTGGAGCAGTGCTAGGGAAGAAGCAGAGAAGTGTTTTGACCTGCTGTGTGATGTGTGGATGAGATGAAACGATCATTCTGGTAGGCCGAGTCTTGAATTAAATCCAGACCTCGGCTGAGTAAATCCAAACTTGAATCGTAATCAATCCAAATCTCCCATGGCGTTCAACTATATAGGATTCACAATCCATAATGTAAAGACCTCTGATACCAGGTCTGTATTTGGATTCATTTTGGGAAAGAGTAGCGGTGCAGAGGTTAGCGTGGTAAAGTATGGTCAACACCCATGATATGGCAAGAGGATGCCTTCATCCAACAGTACATTGACAAAACACGAAGTTGTTTTAGTCAAAGTGAATTCCTGCTGAAATGTGCATTGAGGTGGTGCTTATCTCCCGTTTACAGCCCTGAGAGTGGTAGAAATTCCACATTACTATAGCAGGGGCAAGTCTTATCGCTATTAACTTCCCAATCGAGAGGGACAATAGACTGCATCAACCCCCAACCAGGATTTGAACTCGTAGCCTTCCGATTAAGAGTCGCTTGCTCAACCCCCAATGAACCGCCTGGTCAGATAAATATGACTTAGATGAAAAATGCTGCTATCATTGTGGAACCCTTGGGGTGCCCTTTCCTCATGTTGTGTCTGTGTGCGCGTCTGTGCAGGCAGCGTTATGTGACGGACACGATGCCTCTCGTAGCCCTGGCTCGCGAGTATCTCCCCATGGAGAAGCGCGTGGAGTTGCTGGACATTGTGCTGGGCAAGGTCCTGCCACCGCTGCCCATGACAAACATAGAACATTGAGAAAGCTGCATGTGCGGGAAACACCACCCAATGCTAGCACAACACACACACGCATTGTCTTAACCAGCCTCATTTTGGTTTGCGAGAGGAAGTATCAGCTGTAACCCGGCAATTTTTGGGCCTCCACGAAAGCGAACTCTAGAGGGTATTTGGCCTACTGTTCCACGCAGACCAAACGTGTCGGACAAGGTAGGAGAGTCCCACACTATATTCCTTTGCACACCATCTCTGCCGATCGGCTAACTTGTGAACGCATTCTGCTAGGTGGACAGAGGCGGGCGGGATTTGGTAAATGCACTCATTGTTTCAACTGCCGTGGCGGGAAATGGCATTTAGTTGGCGACCTCTGGATGGCAAGTCCAGCGTACTAACCATTACACCACTGAGTGCTGTCCTTTGAATATGCTTTACAATTACTCAAACTAAGCACCGTATAGTATTATATATAAGCATTAGTTTGGCTGTTTTTCATTGCAATAACAGTAAATATTATTCGAAAATACTTGTCAGCTTTCAAAATATTTTATGCACTATCTGAAGTGTATGTATAGCCCTTAACTACTGTTAACTCAATATAGAATTGAAGCTTTCGTGACTGCAGAAATTACTACACTCATTGTTTTTTTCGGTAAAGTCACGTATGTAGAAATAAAATCAAATTAAATCAAATTAAAATAAATCACGACGTTTCGAACGCAACACAAGCGATTATCATCAGGCGTAAAACAAATAGCGAGGGAACACATAGGGGGACATCACACACATAGCACATAGAGAACGTTAAACTGCACGGAGGCCAATTAGGTTTGTTGTTTTCTCGTCTCTCATCTTGTTGTATTGGCCTACGTGCAGTTTAACGTTCTCTATGTACGTGATGTCCCCCTATGTGTTCCCTCGCTACTGTTAACTCGCCACCTATCACAGGAATATTCCCTTGTCGTGTCATTGTCGTACAATTGTGTTTGGAAGAGAAGACAACATGGGCAAGCATAGGATATTTGTCGGTTTATGGATGTATGATGAACTTCTTTCGCACTGTACATAGCCAACCGTGCTAATCAGAGGTGCAATGTTATTCACAGCTACAATAGGTTTCTACACATTTTAATATTTCTGGTGGATGGGGACAGGGAGCATCAACTATGTCAGTTGTAAAATAGTGGCATGGTGTACGTTGTATGTTAGTGACTTCCTGCTCAAATGAGCATGGAGGTGTAGTGCTCATCTCCCATTTACAGCCCTGAGCGAATGGTGGAAATGTCCACGTTCCTATAGCAGGAGTGACCACAATTGCATTCCCCACAGTGGTACTAATTTGATCGTCCTTGGAGTGAAGCTCAGTTGAGTCATTCCCTAGCCGGGATCCGTTTGCCTGCTGCTCGCTTTATTCCACTGAGCGAACTGGCCAAGTTTTAACGTAAACATTTCTCAAAATTCACCATTTATATTTTATCAAAGGCCAAGGCAGGTTAAATTCCTTTAGAGCTGTACACACAATCAGATCTTTAGGTTGGGTTGTCCAAGCAAGGGGCAAGTCTGTCGGTTGGGTCTCAGTCTCGATAGCCAGTGTCATGTCCACACTCTGGCCGTGGTTGATTGCAGTGGCTCAGCAATGTGTAACTGTTGAAGACGATAAATAAAGTTGTAGCGTTTAATAAAAATCAACAAGACGTAGCCGTGGCCAAAGCCGTTGATTGCGCCACACCTCTCTTCTACTCTCCGCCAGAACCCCGATTTAATTTTCAACAGTTACGCAGAACGAAGTGTTTAGCACAAAACGTTATATATGATCTAAACAATGCAACAATTGAAACAAAAAAGTTTCTTCAATGTAATAAAAAGGGTGTATATAATATACCCATTTAATGTCATTACAGACCACATTGCTTGAGTAATTTAACAGAGTTGTGTAGATGTTTATTCTCCGGAATGTTAAGACAATGGACTTAATTTCCTGTAAGTGCAATGGTTGGTTATTTTGTGAGCAATATTTATTTCACTGCAATTGTCACCTCTCTCGTAGAGTTGCCCACATTGTGCTAACATCAATCTTTTTTCTTGCTAACAAGTGTATGATTTCCATACTCGTTAAATACATGTAAAAACGAAATAGAATTTCAAATGTACTTTTTTTTACATTAAATTCTGGCTAAATTTACTGTAGATGTGGTTGGTGGTATTGAAGCGAAACGATTCTTGCATTCCCCCTGCATCGAGTGCCATTGTTTTGGCCCTAATCGCTCCCATTGACAGTTTTCCTCCTATTCTTAGCTCTTTCGGTAAAGTCACGTTGAAGGGAAACAATAAAATAATAAAATATATATAACAAAAATTCTCACGACGTTTCGACCATGACACAAATGACGACCGTTTGTGTTATGGTCGAAACGTCGTGAGAATTTTTATTGTTTTATATTTTACTATTTTATTGTTTCCCTTCAACGGGACTTTACCGAAAGAGCTAAGAATATGAATCACTGCAGTCATGAAAGCTTTAAATCAAAATTTTTCCTCCTGCTGCATGCGCAGTTGGTGACTTTGGCCACAATCAACTCCATCTTGATCTTAAACCCAAGAGAATCCGTTGCACAAGTCTGTTGATGAGACACAGAATCCACTTTTCTGGTTTTTTAATCAAATCTGGAGGAAAAAAACGTGGAAGGCCGTGTGGGCCGTTGGAGTGCGTACAACATTTAAAGGGCCGTAACATTATATTCTTGGTTCTTTCGGTAAAGTCACGTTGAAGGGAAACAATAAAATATATATAACAATAAAATTTTCACGACGTTTCGACTACAACACAAGCAGTCATCACCAGGTGTGAAAACCAACGGCAAGAACATTTGAAAGAAGTGGCGGTTTGTATTTATTTATTTTTAAACGTTAGCGCCACAGATAGGGATTTGACAGTTTGTTTAGATGGACGAGTCCATCTATATTCATATTCTTAGTTTTTTAGGTAAAGTCACGTTGAAGAGAAAACAACAAAATAACAAAATATATATAAAACAATAAAAAATTCTCACGACGTTTCGACCATAACTCAAACGGTCATCATCAGGTGTGTCGGTTTGCATAAATTTATTTTGAAAAGGCTTATTTATTTATATATATAAAAATAACGTTTGCGTCACGCGCAACGATGGCAGTTTGCCAGGAGGGAGACGAACAATGTGTGCTGTCTGAAAGCCACTGTAAGCGTGAACAATCAATTAAGACCCGAAATGGTTTATCAAATCCTTCCGATGATTGCTCAGCCAGAATCCATCTTCTCGGTTGAAATTGTCTCTCTGTATATGTGGTTAGCCTCATGAACAAATCTCTCATGGTAGCCAGATGGCTTGCAAAGAACCTCTGTCTTGGAGAAGTCAATGTCATGTGAGCCTACTGAATTATAACAGTGATCTGCCACAGCCAAGGTGTTGGTCCTACCGTGTTTTAGATCTGCTTTGTGTTCACGAATGCGGTCCGAGACATGTCGTTTGATTTCTCCAATGTAACTACTACCACAGAGGTAACTTAGTTTGTAGACACCAGGGTACTGTATGTCCGGAATCACATCTTTTACAGACGAAACCAGATCATGGATTTTATGTAATGTGTTGAAACGGACCTGGATCTTGTGTTTATTCACGATTTTGGAGATCTTTTTTTGTGATCCCCGCAATGTAGGGTAAAGTGATGGTTTTGAAAGGCTCCTCAAGAGGGTCCTTCATGGTTTGAGTGATAGCTTTGCGGATTGTATAGTCGGAGTAACCATTAGCCTTAAGAACTTGGTGTACGTGCTTGATGAGCGTTTTTAATTATATGAATGAAAAAAGAGGGATGACATTGTAATCCTCTCAGCCGACAAGGGCAATGCTACTGTCATCATGGATAACATAGAATATAACAACAAAATTTAAGAATTACTCGACGATGGCAGCTATACAAAAATAAAAAGAGATCCCACCAACAGCCTCGTCACACAAACCAACAAAATAATGTCTGATTCAACCGCATTAATTGATCAAACTAAACAGTTTTCGTTGAAACCTTCTGCTGCCCGGCCACTAAGATTATACGGCTTACCAAAAATGCATAAAGTAGATACACCCCTCGTCCCATCGTCTCTACTATCAACTCCACTACCTACAAACTGGCTCGTTTTCTGTCTGAAATCTTGCGGCCTTTCACTGGAAAAACCACCTCTGCGGTACAAAATTCTACTCACCTGGTATCGACAATCAAGGGTATTTCCCTGTCCCCAGACGACCTGCTTGTCAGTTTTGATGTAGTTTCCTTATTCACCAAGGTTCCTGTACCTGACACCATTGCAATCATTGAAGACTTGGTTCATCAAGGACTAAACACTGAGGTACCCCCCCTGGTGAGACACTGCTTAACCAATACATAGTTCCATTCCAAGTGAAGTTTCTACAAACAAACTGAGGGCACCCCAATGGGCTCCCCCCTATCTCCGGTTATAGTCAACATTTTCATGGAGAAATTTGAGATTGACGCCATCCAGACTGCCACTCTGCGCCCAACCTTATGGAAGAGGTACGTGGATGACACTTTTGTCATCTGGCCACATGGCCGGCCTGCTCTAGACCAATTCTTCGACCACATCAATTCTATACACCCAGCCATCAGATTTACCATGGAAGTCGAAATAGATGGCAAGCTACCTTTTTTTTGGATGTCCTAATAAAAAAGAGACCTGATGGTTCAATGAGCCACTCTGTCTACAGGAAAGCTACCCATACGAATGCTTATCTGAAACCGGATTCCCACCACCATCCATCACAGAAGAATTATCTCATCAAGACTCTGCACCATAGAGCCCAATGCATATCCGACCAGCAACACATAGGCAGTGAACTCAAGCACGTACACCAGAGCTCTTAAGGCTAATGGTTACTCCGACTATACAATCCGCTCAGCTATCACTCAAACCATGAAGAAGGACCCTCTTGAGGAGCCTTTCAAAACCATCACTTTACCCTACATTGCGGGGATCACAAAAAGGATCTCCAAAATCTTGAATAAACACAAGATCCAGGTCTGTTTCAACACATTACATAAAATCCGTGATCTAGTTCCGTCTGTGAAAGATGTGATTCCGGACATAGTACCCTGGTGTCTACAAACTAAGTTGCCTCTGTGGTAGTAGTTACATTGGAGAAACCAAACGACATGTCTCGGACCGCATTCGTGAACACAAAGCAGACCTTAAACACGGTAGGACCAACACCTCGGCCGTGGCAGATCACTGTTATAATTCAGTAGGCTCACATGACATTGACTTCTCCAAGACAGAGGTTCTTTGCAAGCCATCGGGCTACCATGAGAGATTCGTTCATGAGGCTATCCACATATGCAAACACAGAGACAATTTCAACCGAGAAGATGGATTTTGGCTTAGCAATCATTGGAAGGATTTGATAAACCATTTCGGGTCTTAATGATTGTTCACGCTTACGGTGGCTTTCAGACAGCATACATTAATTTTCGTCTCCCCCCTCCTCTTTTCCGAATATAGATAAATAAATAAAAACCACCACTTCTTTCAAATGTTCTTGCCGTTGGTTTTCACACCTGATGATTACTGCTTGTGTTGCAGCCGAAACGTCGTGAGAATTTTATTGTTTTATATATTTTATTGTTTCCCTTCAACGTGATTTTACCGAAAGAACCAAGAAAATGAATCACTGCAGTCACGAAAACTTTAAATCAAAATTTGGCCGTAACATTGTCAACTTATTTGAATGATTATGGATTATGGATATCTTCCAATGTGCGAGGGAGAAGATGTTGTGGCTATGCGCTCCTGTAATCCAGCACCACCGTGGAGACGATGGGATCGATCACAAGACGTGTTAAAAGCTCTCCCAATTCGTGGTCGTCGAGGTCGCAACACCCTGGCTTTGCCAGGAGATTGCTACACACCTCGGCGGACGCGTGGGTTTTCTCGGGGAACTCCGGTTTCATGGTGTAGTGACGCCAACGCACGTTCTTCTTGCTTTATTAAGAGCTTTTATTCGGATGCAACTCTATTTCAAGCCTCTGATTGACTTCCTGACTCTAACTTGATTTGGTGCTTGACTCTGTTCACACGTACTTGTATGTGAGGTCGAAAGTGATCCGTTGCCTCGGTCGTTACAAAAGTCATAACAAGCAGCCAATTCCGTTTCAACTACCACGTGCATCACCGGAGAGCGACGCGGTCCCTTGCCCGAGTCGTGAGAATTTCACTACGGTCCCCGGATGGTGGGGTTGTGACGTGGTGGGAGGGTTGGGAGGGAGGTTTGAGGGGTGGGTTGGGGGGGGGGTGTTGAGGGGGAGGGTGTGGGTGGGGTTACGGGGGGAGGGTGTGGGTGGAGTTACGGGGGGAGGGTGTGGGTGGGGTTACGGGGGGGGAGGTGTGGGTGGGGTTACGGGGGAGAGTGTGGGTGGGGTTACGGGGGGAGGGTGTGGGTGGGGTTACGGGGGAGGGTGTGGGTGGGGTTACGGGGGAGGGTGTGGGTGGGGTTACGGGGGAGGGTGTGGGTGGGGTTACGGGAGGAGGGTGTGGGTGGGGTTACGGGGGAGGGTGTGGGTGGGGTTACGGGGGGAGGGTGTGGGTGGGGTTACGGGGGAGGGTGTGGGTGGGGTTACGGGGGAGGGTGTGGGTGGGGTTACGGGGGAGGGTGTGGGTGGGGTTACGGGGGAGGGTGTGGGTGGGGTTACGGGGGAGGGTGTGGGTGGGGTTACGGGGGAGGGTGTGGGTGGGGTTACGGGGGAGGGTGTGGGTGGGGTTACGGGGGAGGGTGTGGGTGGGGTTACGGGGGAGGGTGTGGGTGGGGTTACGGGGGAGGGTGTGGGTGGGGTTACGGGGGAGGGTGTGGGTGGGGTTACGGGGGAGGGTGTGGGTGGGGTTACGGGGGAGGGTGTGGGTGGGGTTACGGGGGAGGGTGTGGGTGGAGTTACGGGGGAGGGTGTGGGTGGGGTTATGGGGGAGGTTGTGGGTGGGGTTACGGGGGGAGGGTGTGGGTGGGGTTACGGGGGAGGGTGTGGGTGGGGTTACGGGGGAGGGTGTGGGTGGGGTTACGGGGGAGGGTGGGTGTGGTGGGGTTACGGGGGAGGGTGTGGGTGGGTTACGGGGGAGGGTGTGGGTGGGGTTACGGGGGAGGGTGTGGGTGGGGTTACGGGGAAGGTTGTGGGTGGGGTTACGGGGGAGGTTGTGGGTGGGGTTACGGGGGAGGGTGTGGGTGGGGTTACGGGGGAGGGTGTGGGTGGGGTTACGGGGGAGGGTGTGGGTGGGGTTACGGGGGAGGGTGTGGGTGGGGTTACGGGGGAGGGTGTGGGTGGGGTTACGGGTGGGTGCCCACGTGACGCGGGGGACGCGCGCGCGCGCGCGCCTCTGCTGAGTGGAGCCTGGCCTAGGCCGCGCCGCGGGGTCAGCGCCTCGGGGCGAGAGACGGAGACGAAGGCTCGCGAGGAGACTCGGCCTCGGCGATCGACTCCCTCGGGGCGAACCTCTCGCCCTCGGTGAAGAGACTCGCAATGATCCTCGCCGGCACTTCGAGCCTCGCCACGAAAGGCTCGCCGTGCGAGTCTCCCGCGTCCCCGCCGCTGGAACCAGACGGCCGCGCCGAAACAACGGGGATGGTGAGACGCGGCACGCGGTCCGAACAAAGGTGTAGGTACACGCACGAGAGGTGTAGGTACACGTAAGAGAGGTGTAGGTACACGTAAGAGAGGTGTAGGTACACGTAAGAGAGGTGTAGGTAGACGCACGAGAGGTGTAGGTACACGTAAGAGAGGTGTAGGTACACGCACGAGAGGTGTAGGTACACGCACGAGAGGTGTAGGTACACGCACGAGAGGTGTAGGTACACGCACGAGAGGTGTAGGTACACGCACGAGAGGTGTAGGTACACGCACGAGAGGTGTAGGTAAACGCACGAGAGGTGTAGATACACGCACGAGAGGTGTAGGTACACGCACGAGAGGTGTAGGTACACGCACGAGAGGTGTAGGTACACGCACGAGAGGTGTAGGTACACGTAAGAGAGGTGTAGGTACACGTAAGAGAGGTGTAGGTACACGTAAGAGAGGTGTAGGTACACGCACGAGAGGTGTAGGTACACGTAAGAGAGGTGTAGGTACACGCACGAGAGGTGTAGGTACACGCACGAGAGGTGTAGGTACACGCACGAGAGGTGTAGGTACACGTAAATAAGAGAGGTGTAGGTACACGTAAGAGAGGTGTAGGTACACGCACGAGAGGTGTAGGTACACGCACGAGAGGTGTAGGTACACGCACGTGAGGTTGTAGGTACACGTAAGAGAGGTGTAGGTACACGCACGAGAGGTGTAGGTATACGTAAGAGAGGTGTAGGTACACGTAAGAGAGGTGTAGGTACACGTAAGAGAGGTGTAGGTACACGTAAGAGAGGTGTAGGTACACGCACGAGAGGTGTAGGTACACGCAACGAGAGGTGTAGGCACACGTAAGAGAGGTGTAGGTTACACGCACGAGAGGTGTAGGTAGACGCACGAGAGGTGTAGGTACACGTAAGAGAGGTGTAGGTACACGCACGAGAGGTGTAGGTACACGTAAGAGAGGTGTAGGTACACGTAATGAGAGGTGTAGGTACACGTAAGAGAGGTGTAGGTACACGCACGAGAGGTGTAGGTACACGTAAGAGAGGTGTAGGTAGACGCACGAGAGGTGTAGGTACACGTAAGAGAGGTGTAGGTACACGCACGAGAGGTGTAGGTACACCTAAAAGAGGTGTATGTACACGCACGAGAGGTGTAGGTACACGCACGAGAGGTGTAGGTACACGCACGAGAGGTGTAGGTACACGCACGAGAGGTGTAGGCACACGTAAAGCGGAGTGTAGGTACACGCACGAGAGGTGTAGGTACACGCACGAGAGGTGTAGGTACACGCACGAGAGGTGTAGGTACACGTAAGAGAGGTGTAGGTACACGTAAGAGAGGTGTAGGTACACGTCAAGAGAGGTGTAGGTACACGCACGAGAGGTGTAGGTACACGCACGAGAGGTGTAGGTACACGCCACGAGAGGTGTAGATAACACGCACGAGAGGTGTAGGTACACGCACGAGAGGTGTAGGTACACGCAACGAGAGGTGTAGGTACACGTAAGAGAGGTGTAGGTACACGCACGAGAGGTGTAGGTACACGCACGAGAGGTGTAGGTACACGCACGAGAGGTGTAGGCACACAGAGGGTCAGAGGCATATAGACACATGTAGATACATACAGAGAGATGGCAGGAATAGATACACGCAGAGAGAGAAAGAGATACGGAGACATACACTCGTAGAGAGATACTGTACACAGCGCGATCCACACGTTTGCTGTACAGTACAAAGTTCCCCCATGTTACCTGACTTGGGGGCAAGTGCTGTTAGCGAGCACCTATTAAGGCCGGCACGGCACACGAGGGGCTGGGTGGCCAGCACCACGCCCGGCCGCCTTTGTCTCGATGTTTACACACCGCACCAGGTACTAATTCGAGGCTGAGTCTACCTAGGAGAGGCCCATGACCGGTTCACACAATCGTCACTGGTGTTGGCCGTGAGCCTGAATCGAACCCGGGTCGCCGGGTTCGTCGCCCTGTACAGTACACAGATACACATAGGCAGAGAGATACATAGAGACGTATACAAATGCACATACACAGAGAAACACATTTGGTAATCGATCAGGATTTGTTTAACAAGCCTGACTGCTGATGAGACCCAGAATGTTGAAAACGGACCAGAGATTGCTTGCTTCAACAGATGCAGTTGGGTGTGATATTGGTCTTGAAAGTCAACGAAGTCGCTATGTGAGCACCAGCCACACAGACGCACATGGGCACATAGGCATTTGTACATACACGCACCGAACACACAGGTGAGCGTAGCCTTACAGGAATAACTGAGGAACGAACACTGCTGCTGACGTGGTTCGTGACGCCTGGAGCTGCACTTTGTTGCCCAGAAGCTTCTCTCTCCCGCTCTCCTCCCCTCTTTATTTCCCTCTCTCTTCCTCCGTGTCCGTGTCTACCTCGTCTCCCGTAAGCTGATGGAAGTCGAAGTGCAAGATGCCCCCGCTGCCGACCCCGCTGCCGACCCTGCTCCCGAACCTGCTGTTACTGCCACAGTCGTGGTGGCGCAGAGCAAGCAGAAGACGCAGTACAAGCAGAAGTACACGGCGGCGTGGGAGCGCGTTCCAGCACTCAAAGGTGCGTGGAGCCCTGGGCTCGGATCGTCTCTGGGAGAGTTTACCCTGGGGGTGGTGGGTGGTCAGCTTTGGGAGTTTGCACGTGTTGTTGCCAACCACGACCACCTACCCCCCATCGAACAAGACGTCAACAATGTACCTGGGCCGTACACTCTTGTCCCGATTCCACATCCGGAAGAATTATTGTGAACAGATTGGAACAATGTGGACGTCCGGATTACACACCTCATTCGAGACTCAAACATTGCAACTCCTGCCTTTGACTTTCAGAATCAGAATCTTTATACTTGAAGAATATGATTAACTACCCAACTCTTTTCGATTTAAAGCTTTCGTGACTGCAAGGATTCATCTTCTTTGGTTCTTTCGGTAAAGTCACGTAGAATGAGAATAAAATAATAAATTAATCAAATAAAATAACAATAAAATTCTCACGACGTTTCGGCCACAACCACAAGTGGCCTTCATCAGGTGAAGGGACGAGACTGTCTCGAGGACAGCACTGGAGCGAGACAGTCTCGTCCCTTCACCTGATGAAGGCCACTTGTGTTGTGGCCGAAACATCGTGAGAATTAAATTGTGTTATTTTATTAATTTATTATTTTATTCTCATTCTACGTGGCTTTTACCGAAAGAACCAAAGAAGATGTACCCAACTCTTGTTTTTTTGGGTCTTTCGGTAAAGTCACGTAGATAGGTTTCCAAAGAAGATTAAAACAAAAACAAGCGGTCGTCTTCCTAAAGGCGACCGCTTGTGTTGCGATTGAAATGTCGTAGTTTTTTCTTGTTATTTTCTTTGAACCTACCTACGTGACTTTACAGAAAGACCCAAAGAATATTAATTCCTGCAGTCACGAAAGCTTTAAGTCAAGATTTATACGCAACTCTTTTTTACAGATGTCCTCGAAGAACATCAACAGACCGATGTGAATACCTTCATAAATGGAGAATTAAATACAAGCCACAGTGCGAATGTGGTCATGCAGCCCAAATTATGATCCATATAATAAACCTCTGTAGTCTGTGCTCCTTTAATTATAGAATACCAAAATTACACAGATTGTCCTGAAGCCCTCTCATCGTGGCTAGCAGACCTTGACATTGATTTTTAGCTCCTGAAGATATTGCTATAGGCCAGGATAGAATAGCTTTGGAGAATGGCCGTGGATATGGTGGTGCTGGTAAAACTGGTGATGATGATTGTGGTGGTGTTGGAGATGGTAGTTGTAAGGTTGGTGACTGTGGTGGTGTTGTGAGATGTGGGGAGAAGAAGTATAGCGGTTAGCGTGCTGCGATACGAACCAAGCAACCCGAGTTCAGTTTCCACTCACTGCCAACACCAGTGACTATTATCTAAACAAGTCCTGGGCCTCTCCAAGGTCGACTCAGCCTTAAATGAATACATTGGTGTGGTTTGTAAACAGCAATAGGGAGACTAAGGTGGGTGGGCGTGGTGTTGGCCACCCACTCTCTCGTGTCCTGTGCCGGTTGGAGATGATGCTTGTTGTAAAAGTGGTGGTGGTGCGTTGATGTCATCCAGTCTCAATCGCATTTGGTGCAAGGAATTAAGAGGTTTTGTATGTCCTGTCAGAAGAAGACAGCTGAGGGGGCGACGTAGACTTTGAAGTTTAGCTCTCGCACTTTGCCAGTGTAACGTCTAAAGTTAAGGCCGCGCAGGTTCAAACTGGAGTCTAAACTGATTGTGGATTTTGGCTGATAGAGAAGGCCTTCAGTCTTAGCAGTGTTCAGCTGGAGGCAGTTTTAACAACTTCCAAGATGTGAGAGAATCATTGGTGCCATTTTGGAGAATACAAGTAACAAAATCAATAAGTGGACAATGTACTTCAAATAGCTGTCCCTCTTAAAAATATTTGTATTTTGTTTATACATCCCATCAGCCACATGGCCTTCTGGGAGTGTGAATTTTCAGGAGCATTCATTCAACACAGGAAAACTGTATCAGTTTCCTACATTCAGTTTATTATCATTAATCAGGATTGATATGACCCATATTTAATTGAGAAGGTCCTTGACAAATGACAGTTCAGCATTTGTTCAAGCAATTCTGACTCGGTAGCTAATACAGATGAGTACAGATGTTAACTGTATTCGTGCTGATTTGTTCCGACAGGATGGCTATCTCCAGTTCCAGGAAACAAGTTCATGGCTGGGTGCAGGATATGCAACGTGACGCTGCACGCTCGAAAAAAGGACCTGATGGATCATTGCAAAACCAAGAAGCACCAGAGATGCCAAAGCAGTATAAGTTATTCAGATGTAATTGCTCAGTTGGCTACCTATTCAACGCTGAGCGATGTGAAAGATGCCGAGCTTCGCATTGCAGCATTCACAGCTGAGCATTACTCCCTGCAGAGCTGTGACCATCTGGCAGACATGATCTGCAAACTTGACCCACAGTCCGACACCCTCAAGTCTCTGAAGCTACACCGGACAAAGTGCACAAGGCTGATCACCAACGTGCTCGCTCCCTCACTCCACAAGGAACTGGTCGAAGATATATGCTCGTCCGCCGCATATTACAGCCTCATTATTGATGAGCGAACAGATGTCAGTTGTGAAAACTGCTTGTGTTTACTCATTAAATATTACAGCACGAAGCAGGAAATGATTATAACAACATTTTACAGGCTTCTCACAATGAAGTCAAGTAGTGCAGAGGATATCTGTAAGACCATCATGGATTGTCTGCAGGAGGATGAATTGCCAATTGAGCGGCTCATTGGGGTTGGTGTTGATGGTGCGAGCATGGATGTTGGATGTGAGAAGTCTATTTCCATGATCCTAAAGGAGTCTGTGGAGCATGTTGTGGTGTTCAGATGCATTTGCCGATCTCTCCATCTAGCAGGAAGCAAGGCATCGGAAGCACTGCCAAATCATCTCGAATACTTGGTGAGGGAAACTTACAATTGGTTTTTCCACAATAAAAAACATCAACTGGAGCACAAAGATCTGTTTAAGTCGCTGAATTCTGGAGAAAACCCTCTGAAAATGACCCAAGCGGGGAATGTGAGGTGGCTTGGCACATACGAGGCAGTGTCCCACATTGTTAGCCATTGGGACACGCTGAGCAAAATATTTGAAATGGCTAAAATCAACGAGCGATGCTTTCTTGCAGAACAGCTGCACCAATTGTACTCAGACTCCTACAACAAGCAGTACCTTGTGTTCGTGAAGCACGAACTTATGGATCTCCATCGCATCAACAAATTGTTTCAAATGGAGAATACGGAAGTGTCACAGCTGAATTCTGACCTTGTAGACTATCACTACGGTCTTTGAAGAAGCTCGTTGGTCCTCAGCAGCTGACCGAGCTCTCGCCAATAGAAGCGCTGTCGCTGAACTTTGAGAATTGCATCATGCCAAGTGCCGTGACAGCCATTGGCAAAGGGAAGACTGAAGAAGTCACACAGCATTGCATGATCTTTCTGTGTGAACTCCTCACACAAGTGAGAATTTGTTTGCCTGAAAATGTGGAAACATTGCAATTTCTGGATTGTTGACTCCAAAATACAGTTGCTGTGAGCTCAAAGAGTCCATTGTGCCTCTCGCGACACGGTTCTCCTCGATTGTGAATCGTGTGGATGACACAGAACTTGAGTGGAGACTCCTGCCGATGAAAGATTGGAGTCAGCAAACAGAAACCGTGAAGTTTTGGGCCGAGGTCTACAATGCAGAGAATGCAGTCGGAGAAAAGATGTTTGTCAACATATCCAGTTTGGCCCTGGCCGTACTCAGTCTGCCTTTCTCCAACGTGGCAATGGAGAGAGAATTTTCCGTTGTCAATAAAGTCAAATCAAAGCAGCAGAACAGAATGCAGACCTCCACCATGGAAGCCATTATCCAAGTGAGGTGTGGACTGGCATGGAGGCAAGAGGACTGTAGCAACTTTACCGTTACCAAAACCATGCTGGAAAAATTCACGAATGACATCGTGTACAAACCATCAGGGAGCACCGAGGCCACGGAGATCGTCGTGACAGAGCAGCTGTGAGCCTGGAGGTGCAAGGAGTTTCGGTGCTTGCATAGCAGCTTTATTTTTCAAAGAACCTTACATCTAACCTTGCCTCTGCTTTGCTTTTTATAGCAAGTAGTTTATAAAGTAATTTGCATTCCTTAGCTATTCTTAAAAAGAGACTCCAAATTAGAATTGCATTCATATTACCATTTAAGTAAACTGATTATCTTTTTAGGGCAGGTTATAATGGAACTTTAACAAAACAACATTTTGCATGGATTATGTAACATTTCACAACATGCGTGTTAATTCGCCCTATCAGTCCAGGTGCATCCCACATCGAAGCACGTGGCAGGGCTGGGACACTGAGCGAGTCCTGTTTGTGCCGCTTTGGGTCTCCTCGTCTTGGAAACTCTGTCCAGTGTGGTTTGTTTTTAAGAGTAATTGTGCCACTGTTACAGACAGATGGACAGAGCTAATTAATTTATGCTTTCAGACTTGGCTGAAGAAAAGTTAAAAAGACAGCCATACATTTGGTGTTGTTGCCATGTTATTTTTTACAATTTGATGTTTCTTCCTTATGACTTATACAGCTGTGTAAAATCATATTTAGTACCCGTAAAAATATCTCCCCACAACGCTTTGTATGGCATTCCATATATTGCTTATGACCAGTTTTCTGAAATGTGTGAACTTTGTGTTCAAACGTCAATGTAAAAATCACTCGGTACATTTGTCTCTTGAACTTTACTTTCGTCACATTGTCAAGACTCGTTGCATTAAGAAGCTTAAGCGCCTATGTGGTAGATGAATCGCACCGCTGCAGCGGCACGGATTCTTCGGTTTGTGAACACGACGATTGCACGCGTATATGACGTGACCTGGCGGGTGCAGGAAGACTACAGAGAAGACTGGACGTATGTAAATACTTAAAGCATCGCACAAGGGCCGTGTTTGCCATGCAGTGGTGCAGTCTAAACCAAATGCTCTTGAACAGAGCACAGCAAACAATTGTACACGCAGGCTGGATGCCTCTGCCGTTTCCATCTGGAGTGCTATTAAAGAGAAGCCAATGACACGCAGCAGCACACGACATGTAGAAAACGTCCACATTCCTTTTTTAAATTTGTGGACGCCAAGTCGAGCGGCCGTGTATGAAATTATTATATGCTCGGTGAATGTCTCCTCAAGCGAGCAGTCCCATGTCGGTGGCCCTGAGCCATTTTGTGAAAATTACACTTCTGGCAGGTGCCAGCCTCTCCACGAGGTGATGGATTTCACGGTGATGTATTTACCCCAGTGAGTAGCTGGCCTGAGTAAGCCCCTCACTTCCATTTGAAACTTCCTTCCAATTGTGAGTCGAGCGTGCGGTTATAACAACTGAGGAGGACAGAAACATGTTTTAACCGTAATGGAAAACGTCCAAGTCTTGTTGGCTTGTAAGACATGGTTTGTGTATATGTAAAGTACGTTTTAAACCGTTACATGTTTCTAGTCCGTACCACCTGTGAGAAACAACAGGAACATATTCGATTATGGAAATATTGGCCTGCATTTTATACAAACGCCATGTCTCATCTAGGTATATAGATGCAAGTATGTGTGTGTGTTTTGTTGTGTGGAAAAGAACTGCATAGCAAACATCTTTGTGCATGTTTATTTTGAGAGACGAGTGAGCCAGGTTTGGCATGAAGATGGAATGAATGTACAAAATCAAAGTAGTGAGACCAGTTGGTAGAAAAGTATACCTATTTACTAAACGTTAAGAAATTAAATACCTCGAGCTTGGAAGGATAATATTGTAATGATTAGAGCCATTGGGATAGTGTCACGTATATAAACTATTCACAAAGATCATAACAATAGCAAATGATTGGTTTCCACTGACAAAACACATTTATAAAACTGCCTTAAAAGCATATATAATCGGTGACGTTTTGGATAATGGCCCTATTTCAGACTACCACATTAATTCTAGAATGGACAATACATTCAAATACCATTGTCTTCGTTTTTGGAGACAAGTGCTTCCCAACTGGTGTGCAGCGGTATTTCCGAATCGATCAACCAACACAGCCACACAGACCTCAATGTGAACGATTCAATAATGAAAATACATCAAAGAAATAGACACGTTGAGATGAACACAGTAGACACGGACACGACCCCAAAAAAAAACATTAATAGACAAGGTGGGGAGATGTGTACTGACAGAATACGACTTCTCTGAGTGAATTGGCTGAGCCGGGTGAGAGATTAAACCCGAAACATCACGCGTCTGCAGTTCTAAATGAGTCCAGGACCTGGAGGGAAACGCGGTGATCGAAGAATTGTGGATTTTCCACCTTTCCATGACGGCATCAAGGCCGTACTTAAGAGACGCACGCGCACACGCGCGCGTATCATCAGCCATGATTAATTACCTGCAGGGTATAGGGCCCACTGATTATATATTTTTGTGTTCGGTGTGCCGTGAAGATCGAGCAAGCTCAACATTGAGAACCGTGGATGTAGAAAAATGGTTGAGAAGCGCTGCTGTAGAATGTAGACTTGGAAAATGCATGACTTGGTAGTAAGGTCGCCCACACTATTAAGCTATTTCAACTTTTATTTTACCAGGTAAAGCCCACTGAGTGATAAACATAGCTCTTTTTCAGAAGCGGCCTGGCCACAAATGATAGCTCAACGAAGTGACTTACGTGGAAAGTTATAGCATGCAAATACACTAAACGCACTTTGATTCTAAATGTGGAGGCAAAAACTGTAGGACCTGGAGAAAAATCCACGCGAAACTCCAAATATACAGCAGGCGTTGCACCAACTCTCACAAAGCACCACCCCCGTGTTCCGCAAAAAATAAATAACAACCTCATTGGGTAAACCGTGTGTGGAGCTGAAAAATGCGTTCAATTAAAACAGCGTTGGATAAGGTTTTCCTGTGTATATACTATAAGCGGAGTCAAACTAGGAGACACGCTTTCACCAAACCACAAATAAGTTTTGGACGATTTATTGCCAACGACAACCACCTACCCATCAACAATGTTCCTCGCAGCCAACTCGAGTGCCGATCTCCCTTCTGGGATAGGGCTGCTGCTGCTGCTCTCACCATCCCTAGACTCTCAAACCCAAATGCGAGGAACCGCTGGCGAACAGAGTGGAACAACGCGCATGTCCAGAACAAATGCCTCCGAGACCCCAATCATCGTACCTCCTGGCTTTAACATTCCTCCTGGAAGACACTGGCGGAGGGGATGGAACCATCGACCCGCATCACAACATCGCCAGGTCGATGCTCACATCTTAATAAATGTAAAGTTATGACACAAGTCACGGTCGTACGACTGGACACGTGCAGCCCAAACCGATGGGCTACATCGAGTAAACCACCGTGGTCTGCGCTCCTTCAATGGAGGAGGAACAGAAAAACGACACGAACTTTATCCTGAAGCCCTCTCGTCGTGGCGAGCAGACCTCGACATTGCCACTTAGCTCCTGAAGATATTTCCATATGCCGGGATAGTACAGCTCTGGAGAATGGTCGTGGAGATGATGGTGCTGGTAAAACTGGTGGTGGTTGTAAGATTGGTGATTGTGGTGGCGGTGGTGGTGTTGGAGATGGTGGTTGTAAGATTGGTGACTGTGGTAGTGTTGGAGATGGTGGTTGTAAGAATGATGCTTGTGGTAGTGTTGGAGATGGTGGTTGTAAGATTGGTGATTGTGGTGGTGGTGTTGGAGATGGTGATTGTAAGATTGGTGACTGTGGTAGTGGTGTTGGAGATGGTGATTGTAAGATTGGTGATTATGGTAGTGGTGTTGGAGATGGTGATTGTAAGATTGGTGATTGTGGTGGTGGTGTTGGAGATGGTGGTTGTAAGATTGGTGATTGTGGTGGTGTTGGAGATGGTGATTGTAAGATTGGTGACTGTGGTGGGGTTGGAGATGGTGGTTGTAAGATTGGTGATTATGGTGGTGGTGTTGGAGATGGTGGTTGTAAGATTGCTGATTGTGGTAGTGGTGTTGAAGATGGTGATTGTAAGATTGGTGATATGTGTGGTTGGGAGATGGTGATTGTAAGATTAGTGACTGTGGTGGTGTTGGAGATGGTGGTTGTAAGATTGGTGACTGGTGGTGTTGGAGATGGTGGTTGTAAGATTGGTGATTGTGGTAGTGGTGTTGGAGATGGTGATTGTAAGATTGGTGACTGTGGTGGTGTTGGAGATGGTGGTTGTAAGATTGGTGATTGTGGTAGCGGTGTTGGAGATGGTGGCTGTAAGATTGGTGGTGGTGTTGGTGTTTGAGATGGTGGTTGTAAGATTGGTGACTGTGGTGTTGGAGATGGTGGTTGTAAGATTGGTGTGGTGGTGGAGGTGTTGGGAGATGGTAATTGTAAGATTGGTGACTGTGGTGGTGTTGGAGATGGTGGTTGTAAGATTGGTGACTGTGGTAGTGTTGGAGATGGTGGTTGTAAGATTGGTGGTGGTGTTGGTGTTTGAGATGGTGCTTGTAAGATTGGTGACTGTGGTGTAGGAGATGGTGATTGTAAGATTGGTGACTGTGGTGGTAGTGTTGGAGATGGTGGTTGTAAGATTGGTGACTGTGGTAGTGGTGTTGGAGATGGTGATTGTAAGATTGGTGATTGTGGTGGTGGTGGTGTTGTAGATGGTGATTGTGAGATTGGTGATTGTCGTGGTATTGAAGATGGTGGTTGTAAGATTGGTGATTGTGGTGGGGTTGGAGATGGTGGTTGTAAGATTGGTGACTGTGGTGGTGTTGGAGATGGTGGTTGTAAGATTGGTGACTGTGGTGGTAGTGTTGGAGATGGTGGTAGTAAGATTGGTGACTGTGGTAGTGGTGTTGGAGATGGTGATTGTAAGATTGGTGATTGTGGTGGTGGTGTAGATGGTGATTGTGAGATTGGTGATTGTGGTGGTAGTGTTGGAGATGGTAATTGTAAGATTGGTGACTGGTGGTGGTGTTGGAGATGGTGGTTGTAAGATTGGTGACTGTGGTGGGGTTGGAGATGGTAATTGTAAGATTGGTGATTGTGGTGATGGTGTTGGAGATGGTGATTGTAAGATTGGTGATTGTGATGGTGTTGGAGATGGTGGTTGTAAGATTGGTGATTATCTTGGGGTTGGAGATGGTGATTGTAACATTGGTGATTGTGGTGGTGGTGGTGTTGGAGATGGTGATTGTAAGATTGGTGATTGTGGTGGGTTGGAGATGGTTGTAAGATTGGTGACTGTGGTGGGGTTGGAGATGGTGGTTGTAAGATTGGTGACTGTGGTGGTGTTGGAGATGGTGATTGTAAGATTGGTGATTGTGGTAGTGGTGTTGGAGATGGTGATTGTAAGATTGGTGTTTGAGATGGTGGTTGTAAGATTGGTGACTGTGGTGGTGTTGGAGATGGTGGTTGTAAGATTGGTGACTGGTGGTAGTGTTGGAGATGGTGGTTGTAAGATTGGTGACTGTGGTAGTGGTGTTGGAGATGGTGATTGTAAGATTGGTGATTGTGGTGGTGGTGGTGGTGTTGTAGCCCAGCCACCGCATGCCGAAACAGCTTTTGTTCGGCCGGATTGAGGGGGCAAAGCGGGCGCGGCACGGGCTAGAGAAGAGATGGAGTGATGTGGTACAGGAGGACGTGGAGCTGAGTGGACTTGCCGATGACTGGTACCAGTGGTGTCAGGATCGGCCTCTGTGGAGGAGGCTCGTGAAGGATGCTACTGAGCAGTTGGAGGCAGTCGCCCTCCAACAACAACGGAGGGCGGAGGAGCGACGCTCAGAACAACGAGCGGAGCGCCGGGTGGCTAAAGCACAGCAGGTTGGCACATTAGGGGGCACAGGTGGTGCATCAGCCAGTCATCTCAGTCAGTCGACCCGTGGCACCTGGGTCTGCCCCGTGACCTCCTGCCAGCGGGCGTTGGACACTTCACGTGGCCCTCAGGGTGCACATAGCCTGGCACAAGCGTCGTGGTGACGTCACCGCCACTTTGTGGCGAATGGCGGTTATTGTTGTTGGTGTTGTAGATGGTGATTGTGAGATTGGTGATTGTGGTGGTAGTGTTGGAGATGGTGATTG